GTAGCTTGGGCAGCTTTAGGCGCAATGGGAACAAAAGCATTAGCATTTGGAGCAAAAGCACTTGGAGCTTATGACGCAGTAAATAAAATGAGTGGAGGAAGAGTTTCGAAGACATTAGATGCAAATAAAGGAAAGATTGGAGGTTGGGTTGCAAAGAAGTTAAGATTAAATAAAATAGGGCTCATAAATAAAGCATCCAATTTGGTTGCGACTGAGTCAGAAAATGCTTTAGGAAAGGACGATGAGTTTGCAAAACACGCAAAAGACTTTAATGACCAGATGAAAGGTGAAACAATGCATTTAAATAGAGTCGATGGAACTAAAGAAAATGTTTCTTCTCCACCAGTAGTTCTTCCGTATGGTCCCTATGGAATGTATGGAAACCCTTACGAAAGACCATTTGACCCATTGACTGGTGGAAGTAACTGGTATCATTACGGACGAAGAAGAAAGACAGTCAAGTTGGAGACAGACGTGAAGAAAGCAACTAAAAAGAAACCAAGGAAGAGAGTTATAAAGCAATGAATTCAACAGGGTGAAAAAGCAGGTGAAAAAAGAGGTGAGATCTCACCACTTCACCTAAATTTATTTTTGTGCTATGTTTTCATACGTGTGAGGGTGGTGATATCATTTATTTTTAAGTTTATTTTTTATTTTTACTGAAAATTTTTATTTGGATGTAAATGACAGAACAAAAGCAACTCATTCGAATTCCACAGTATAACAAACATACATTTAAACATTTATTCTTCCTTCCTGAGCATAACATGTTCTTTCAAATACATCCGAGACCAGTTGACTTTTCATTGACTGTGTATAAAGATAGAAATAGTTATATAATTAAACCATACGATGACGAAGGTAAGTTATGTAAATTGTACGTTAAGAAGTTAGAGAAAGTTTATGGCTTCAAGTATGACTACAATAGGGTTAACACTGATGATGAAGATATTGAGGAAAATTTATGAGAACATTAGTGAAGTCGTTAGTGAGAATGATAGTGAGAACGTTTATTTTTTACATTAGTGAGTTCGTTAGTGAAGTGAAGTGGTTGGCGGCTTTGTAAAGTGTCAAATTCACAAGTATTGGGTAAGGTGGAACGCAGTGCCACAGTACCCAAGACTTGTATACTAACTAACAGAGCTTGTCCATATGGAATAAGCTCGTTTCCAAATATATGTTTTTGTAGCCATTCTGGTTTTCTTTCCATGTAACCAATAATATAGTGATGCGAAAAATTCCCAAACATATGGGGTTTCTCATATCCCGTCCCCTATCGTTTCCCCAATTCAATTTTTTTTGGAATTTTATTTTTTTTCCCGCCCATTTGAATTAAAAATGGGCGATTTTCGTTAATGTGATTGAAATATCATAAAATTAATACGTATTTTAGCTAATAATTCTATTTTTATACAATATTCTCTCATTAAATCAACATTTTTTTCTGATTTTAATTTTTAATTTTTAATTTCTTCATAATTTTAGCGATTTATGCTCATTATTAGCAAATAAATATATATATAATAATACTTATTTCATTTTATTCAGATAGGTCTTTGGGATTGGGATACCTTGTCCAAATTCAGAGGAAGTTTGAGAGGTTGGGATGGGGTAGCCCATATTCAATTATCCCAAGTGTACTCCACGAATTTAAATTATATTATATTATTGATGACATATCTAAATTTATCGATAAAAATTTCAATGCGTACACAATTTTTTTGAGAAAATTCTTTTTTTTTACTTTATTTTCATTCATAAAAGCTCACGTGAACTTAATTAACAACTGAGACATTTCCTATGAAATCATTTAATGCCGTCAAAATAGACATGTCTAAGCTGTTTTGAGTGACTTTCGCTCGATGTCTGATGCAATATCAGACATCGAGCGAAAGTCTCTCATATTGGCAACACATCCATACGATCAATACTATAGCTACGAATTACAAGCCTGTTTGGGCAATTTTTGGCCGAGTTCTGATTTTTCATTAGATCTCGAGCGAAAGTCTCTCAAATTGGCTGCCAGTTCATAAGAGTGAAACTCTAGCTACGAATTAGAAGCTTGCTTGAGAGACTCTCGCTCGCGTTGGGATCTGCATCAGAACTCGAACGAAAGCCTCTCAAAGTGGTAAGACCTGCTCATTGTTGAGCAGGAGCTGCGTAATGTGTTCGAGTAGAGTGAGGCTCTTCTAAGATCTTCCTTGTGATTGGAAGAAATTAGAAGAGTCTCACTCTACTATTTTGTAATTGTATGCCCTGGCCTTTGAGTGACCAGGGCTGCGTAATGAATTCGAGTAGGATTGTACAATAGCTCGGCAAACGCCGAGCAAATTGATATAAACGTACATCCCACAAAAAATGGATTGTCAAAATTTATCCCAAATTTTACAAAACCGCAGCGGTTATGACATCCCAGGGCTAAAAAAATTCGGAAACTCGCATCTCTACAATAATATCTTTTGTGAATGGGAAAGCTTTTACCCAACGTTTCAGTCTTGCGTCATTTATTTCTGTAGTTGGTTTTATTTTGTCATGGATCATGTTTTTCAATACTAACATTTCATTTGGTACTGTCCATTTGAGTTTTCTTAAATATTCATCCCTTCTCAGTTCATTGTCTGCAAAGTAAGTTTTTATGACATTTTGCAAACTTTCGTTTGCAAGGTCATGTACAATAGGTTCTCTTCCTTCTCTCTCCCTAACTCTCTTTCTAAACTCTTCACCAAATATACCATCTCTATGGTTCTGTGTAGTTCTTTGAGATAAATGTTCTAGAACGTCAGGTGTTATATTTCCCTCAGCCATGTTCATTTCATACTGGTCCAAAATATCTGCATCTTTCATATCTTTCAATGGCATTAAAGCCGCGCTGAAAATACCCGTTATATCTGGTTCACCATTCACTTCCATTGCGTCTACAACTTCTTGGAATTGAGGTTGTAAGTTTATGAACCACCTATCCGGATTAGCTTTATGACCCCATTTCATTGTAGTTCCATAGTCTGCAGAAACAAAAGTAGGTTTGTTTCCATATTGGTTAGGTTCTGAATGAACTTTAAACAATGTTTCATTTCTATATGTTTTGTTGAAATTTAACCTTTTATTTTCACCGAGTTCAGCCAAAGATTGAACGTTATATGGTCGTAAGTAAAAAGGATTATTGTATTTGCGTACATTTTCTTTCAGTACTTCCATTCTATGCTGAATATTTTCATCTGATGTTGGAGTCTTTTGTATGTCGGTGAACATTTTTCGATATTCTTCTACTATGTCAGCCGAATTTTTCTTAGACTCTTGGAAAGATTCTATATTCACCTCATACTCTTGTTGAGGGTCAAGATTTTTCGGCTGTTCCAAATCTTCATCTAGTTCTGTGAAGTTAGTTTCCAAAGGAGGGACTTGTTCGTTTCCTTCAGGCTCTTCTAGCTGTTGTTGCTGAACTATTTCTTCCATGTCTGGTTGTATCTGAACTTCTTCCTGTTGAGTTTCTTGTACCTCATCTGCTAGCATTTCATATATTCCGAGACCGTTTTTAAAAAGTTCCCTATCTAAGTCATCCGGACTCATAAACCTTTCTTCTTTCGTTCCGTCTCTATTTTTTACGCGTTTCATGAAGAGAGTTGAATTATCATTTAGCTCTGACACCAAATATCTCGGAGTAAATTCATCCATGTCATTTGGATGATATGCTATTAAATCATATCCCTTAGCGAGCTTGTATTTTTCAGGTTTGAGATTATATCCCATTTGGTGCTGAACCATAAAGCTAAATAGGTTCGGGTCAGTATTTCCTTCCTTGAACTTTCTAATAGCTTCTTTATATCTGTCACTAAAGTCAAGAGTATCTGGGTAACCATACTCTTCCTTAAGCATTTTTAAGAATTCTTGGTTTCCTTTTTCTCTACTTCTTTTATGTCCTTGTTCTGTTTGTGGTTGTTGTTGTGCAGGGTTTTGAACTGTTGGTTGCTGTGCAGGGTTTTGAACTGTTGGTTTTGGTTGTTGTTGTTGTGCTGGATTTTGAACTGTTGGTTGTTGTGTTGGTTGTTGTGTTGGTTGTTGTGTTGGTTTTGGTGCATGCCTGTGTCTGTGTCCATGTGACGATGTAAATGTTTTAGGTAGTCCTGGTGCAGGTGCTTCTCTTGGAGGGTTTGGTGGTATATAAGTTCCACCAGCTGGCACATATGTTCCATCTGCAGCATAATGTCCTACCTGACTTTTCGTTTTTAAGAAAGCATTTACTAGGTCTGTTTTGGTCTGTTGTAACTCTTTTTCTTGACTTTCCACAACAGTTGCTCTAACGGCGTCATAGGCACTTTGAACTGCCTGTCTCGTTGCTGCATCTGTTATTTTCGTCATATTTTGTGCTACTTCTCTTAACTCTTTGTCGAAACCTTCAGACTTCAGTTTCTTTCCAGATGAGAAGTCGTTCACTAGTTTCACCTTACTATGAAGAGCTTCGAAGGCATTCTTAAAGTCAGCATTCATTAAAGCTTCATTTGAACTGTCTTCATCCGCTCGTATTTTTGTCCTTATTGACCCTATAAGTTGGGCTGCTTTAGCGTTGGCTTGGGCATCTAACCAGTCATTATTAGCTTTTATATATTCTGCGCTTTTCATTGCCTTTTGCATGGCTGCGTCGTTATTTTTACTTTCTTGTGCTAAGTTTTCATACTGTACGGTTTGGTTTTGCAACTGTAAAAGTTTTTCTGCCTTTACATTTGCTTCAACTTCTTTTTTATACTCATTGCTATCCATATATGTCTTCAGGGCTTTTTGTTTTATCTCTTCATCTTTCAGTACTTTATATTGAGTAGTATGGTTTTTCAAATTTATGACATCTTGTTCCATTTTTGCTACTTCTGCTGCTTTTTCTGACACTTTTTCGCATATTCCTCTGTACTTAGTTCTTTCAGTTGTTCTTCTTTCTTCTTTTTCTCTACGTTTAACTCATTGAGTTTCTTTGTGTGTCTGTCATATTCTAGTTTCTTTTCGTTTTCACTTATTTGTTTCTGTATGTCTATGTTTGACTTTTTGACATCTGTTATTTGATTTTTGAGTGAACTCAAATTCATTTGACTTTGAGGGTTATAAGCTGTTCCGTCTGCAGCTCCACCATAGCCTGCCATTTTCGCTAAAAGTGCCGCTCTTAAACCTCCACTCTGTGCACCAATAACTCGGTTTAAAAGCATAGGGTTGCTTGACATTTGTTGCAACATAGTGGGGTCATTCATCATTTGTTGTTGCAACTGTTGTTGTGGTGTCAGTTTTACTATTGGATGTTTCAATGCTCCCTTCCTCTTACGTATATTCTTACGTAGCTTACGTGGCATTTTAAGTGAAGTTAAAAAGCGGGTTTTGACAGATGTTTATATGACACTTTTTGTTCAGCACAAAAAACTACTCGGTCAAAGTGTTGTCAGTTTTGTAAAATAACCGTCCTATCTCATTCTATAAGAGAGAAAAGGCTTCTCAAAGTATACTTCCTTGGAACGCCTGTAACTTTTCCTGTAGCGACGATAGACCCTTATTTGTCCGGACAAAGTTATACTATTTTGAGTGCTCTACAAAAAAGTCAACGGCGACGACTCTTAAAAACCGTTGTGTAAAAAGTTTTACCGTTGGACAAAAAAGTATATATAGAAAACAAAAAACGTTTATAGTTCATTCAATATTTGAGATAAACCGTTTTTCCAACGGTAACTATTAAATAAAATAAAAAAATAGTGGGGTCTCCGTTGACGAAAACGGTTTATCTCAAACTTTTCTATGAGTGGTCCGAAAAAAACAGTTCATTTTTCATAATGGAAGGAAGAACAAGTGTCGCAAACAATTCGTCGACTACCTCTGCAGTTAAAGTTCCTACAGCTTATGTCTCACCATTCTCAAAACCCTTACGACCTCCTATAATACCAAAGCAACCTCCTCATACAATTCAAGACAAATTGTCCAACAATTTGAGTTCTTCTTCTTCTCAAAACACAACAGAAACATCTGAAACAGTTGTCCAAACAGCACCAGAACAAGTTTCACATAGTTCTACAATTCAAGACAAATTGTCCAACAATTTGAGTTCTTCTTCTTCTCAAAACACAACAGAAACATCTGAAACAGATGTACAACCAATAGAACAAGATATAGTCTCTCAAACTACAAGTATGTTAACAAGAGCACAATTTCAAGATTTAATTTCTCTTGAACAATATTCGAGTAACGAAACACAAAGCGACAACTGTAACCTCTCGCTACCCGAATCCATTCAAAGAAAATACGCCATGAAAAGACTGAATTTGTTGTATAAACTTCTTAACAATTGGGGGGTCGAAGACAACTCAGATTATATTGAAATGTTTAACAAAGTCATAGAATCTCTTAAACCAATTGAAAACGACATAAAAAATCCCGGTGTTCTTGTAGACCTTTTCGCCTCAAAATTACCAGTTACAACTAATCTAATAGCAACACAAGCTATAGAGCAATTTATTTTATGTTTTCCCAAGCAATATAGACAACACCTGAGGGAAACAAGAATAGGAAAATTTCAATTGGTGTATCCTACAACATACAACTATTACGAAGAAGCAAATGAATATGGAGAACTCTCATTCCATTTCACACTTTCAGTTCCTGAGGGAGAAGAAAAAGCAATCTATCATGTACAATCTCTTGCAGGATGTGAAGGAAAACCTCACATAATAACTACTGTTGCAATTGACAAACCTGCAAGAGTCGAAGACGATGTTTTGTTCGCGTCCATTGCTGGTTTTGGCATGGGAGAACCAATTCCAATTTCCCATTTCACAGAATACTCAGCACAACATTTTCAAAATGTAGAATTCGTGTTCTACGACCATCAAAAGTTCCTGCTAACAAAACCAAAGAAACAATTTGTCTCAATATTTGTTGCTGGTCATGTGGCTGACAAAGAGCCATCAGATACTGACTATGAAGAAGAGGAGGAGGAAGAAGAAAACGATAGCGATGTCGTTCTTATCGAATAAAAACTTTAATTTTTTACTATATAATTTTTTTAGTTCTCCTCTAGGTTTTTTAGGGGCTAGAGGGCACGAAGTGCCTGGAAGCCCCACTCACCTGACCTGCTTTGATCGGATCTCGTTTGTTGTAATCTTATCAACGAGATTTTTCAATTTTTTTTCGTGTAAAGGAATGAATACACTAAAAGCTGATCTTAGAACAATATTATTGCAGGAGAAAGAGCATCCATTGACACAGGAAATAGAATCACTAATAGAACAATCATTTAATCCTAATTATATTAAACCAGTAAAAACATGGGCTCTAATCCACGATGAAAAGAAGAGATCAAAGCTTATCGCGCTTCTAAAGGGAGGAATGACTATCAAGAAGCTACCAAAACTCGTTACAGGCGTTCTGGAACCTCAGCCTGAATTTGTTCTTACTACAGCAACCTCTGTTATCGATGTAAATCACTGCTTCCCACAAATATCTCCAAGAAGAAAGCAAATGGATGTTACAAGACGCTCCCAAATCATGGAGCAAGGAATATTTGGAAATTCATCAAAATATGCAGGAGTTCAACAACCAAAATCAAACATTATCGAGTTTCAATGCCGAAAATTATTCAATCCATTAGCAATGGAGAGAATTTTACCGACTGCTGAATTAAATATCGCTTTTATCAGAGAAATAGCCAATTGGTGTGATACAAACGCAAACTACTATCCATATATTGACAAAGCTCCTGATTTCGAGAGCAGTCCACGAGGACAAGCTTATCTTTACAAAAGAATCCTGAAAGAAGACCATTTAATGAATAATACGTATGTACAAACCAATCCAAACTCTCCAAGATTAAGAGAACCTCCTTCTACATCTAGATCTTTAATGTATTCAGTATATAAAGATACATTTTCCCCAGAATCCACAAAAGGCTTCAAACCATCGAATCCTGTTATTCCTCCATTAGGACAATGTCCTTTCAGTCGTTATCCACAAGTAAATGCAGAAGAATACGTATATACTAATGAACAAGTTCAGGAACAGTGTTTAAGCAATCGAACTGCAAGAAGAGCTTTTAGAAACGTATTTAATGCTAAGACACATATCTAATTCTTGTGGTTTTGAAAGGTTAAATTTATTTTGATTTTTTGAGGTTTGTTTTGTCTATTGTTTGCTTAAAAATTATTTTAGAAAACAAAAATATTTTATTTTGCTTAACTACGAATCCAAAAACTTTGATTTATCCTTAAAAATTTGATCAAAATTCTCAATAAAACCTTAATTAGACATGAATATCTGTTTAAAATACCTTATATTCCTGATAATGAGATGTTGTTCTTATTATTTTCTCTTCTAAAATGATATTTACAATCATTTTTGAATTGATTTCGTCATAATTTAAGCTTGAGAGATCATTTTGAAGTTTAGCGATGCCAACTTATTGTATCTATAGTAGATTTCTAATAATATCTATCTGTAAATAATTGAATAAATTGTTTTTATTCGAAAATTAGATTTGTTTAATTTTAATATTATCGTGGAGTAGGTGACAAAAGTGCATACTCTTAAATTAACCTTAAATGTTTATTTTTCGATATTTTCGGTATTAACCTTATTGTAAATTTTTCCGGTGATAAATTTATCACACTGAGGTTATTTTTCCGGTGAGATTTTTAACCTTGATTTAATGAAATTAATATATATAAATTTTATTATTTTTAATTTCGAATGAGTATAATAAAATAGTTTTTTATATCGTCATAACTCTCATCACTGTTGTGATTCCAAATGCGATTATTAAGGTTCAAGTCGCTAATGTTTTGAATGAAGATAGAGCAGTAAGAATTCTTACAAGGGCAGGTAATCGGATTGTTGAGCAAAGAGCTTCAAAACACGATGAATGTTTGAAATTAATTCAACACATTTTGGAAATTGTCGAAAGCCGAAGGATTGAACCTAATGTCCTTATTCCATCTTTGAAGACAATATTAAATTTGGCACAAAGAAGTTTAAAGGAAGAGTAAGCAAGATTAGATAATTTGGACTTTTTTTAAAATTAATGAATAAACAGTATATTTTTGAAGTGTAAGCTTATTTACCTGAAGCTATATTACTTAATATAACATTCAAAGTATTATTGCTATTTATTGGAGAACAAATTTATGTAATTTTCACATGAAAATTGATAAATTTGTATTTCCTTATGATAATCAATTTTTGTATTTGTAGAGAGTCTCCCTGCATGATATCAAGACTTGGCTATTGGTCTTTATCCATTTTTGAAAATTGTATTGTAAATTGTAAGAATTTCTGAATACTACTACTATAAAATATAATTGCTTATCAATGTATATTCTCCCTGCATGATATCAAGACTTGGCTATAAGTCTTTATCCATTTTTGAAAATTGTATTGTAAATTGTAAGAATTTCTGAATACTACTACTATAAAATATAATTGCTTATCAATGTATATTCTCCCTGCATGATATCAAGACTTGGCTATAAGTCTCTATTCATTATGAGTATGACCCCATTTTTTTTACAAAAAGTGCCGAATTGCAACTTTGTCCCAATCTCTATTATCGTGTTGCATGCTAAGTAGTGTCAATGTGTAAACCTCTCAATTTTATCGTCGGGGAAGCAACACAATTCCCTCAAAAATATTGAAAAAATATAGAAAATAAAATGAATTAAGATGTACTTAAAATGAGAAATAGATTATGATATTAGATTTTAGAAAAAAACAGACTTTTGATATAACTTTTGAGAATCTCATATAAAAAAAGCATTTAAAAATAAATTTAAATATCTTATTTATTTTACTATTGTAAATATATTCTGAGATTTTTAGAAAAAAACACTTTTCATAAGTATTCAATATTTGAGAATACGGTCCAAAAAAAATAGATTCTCTTATATTTGCTTATATAAAAGGAAACTCTCTATCAGATGCGAATGCATGAATTCAGCACCTCTGATAGAGAGTTTCCTCTTATATAAGCGGATCTTTTTCATGAGTTATTGTTAATATAAAAACATAAAAATCTACCAATATGAGAAATTAAACCCTGCGAGGCACCAGTCTAGAACTGGCGCTTCGCAGGGTTTAATTTCTCTTGACAAATGACAAAACTTGTTCGCAATTGTGAACCATTGCGAGCAAGTTTGCCAGATATCTGGAAGGAATTGCTCCTTATGATATATGCATTGTAACTGTATATATCATAAAGAGCAATTCCTTCAATTAAACGCAAAAACTTTGGTGCAATCGTTGCTGATTGCACCAAAGTTTTCGAACTTTCCCGAGGGAATTGGAGGGTGAGAGATACATAGTCTATCTATGTACCTCCCACCCTCCAAATCCCACTCTAAATGGGAGAAACTTTGTTCGCATGTTATCTTATTCAAACAAAGTTTCTCCCATTTAGAGAAGGAATAGGAGCCTACCAGGCACTGATATATAATCAGTGCTTTGTAGGCTCCTATTCCTAATAAAAATTTGAAAACTTTGGAGCATTTGATTATTGTATTTTGTCAAGAGAAATTCAACCCTGCGAAGTGCCAGTTCTAGACTGGTGCCTCGCAGGGTTTAATTTCTCATATTGGTAGATTTTATGTTTTTATATTAACAAAAACGAATGAAAAAGATTTGCTTATATAAGAGGAAACTCTCTATCAGAGGTGCTGAATTCAGGCATTCGCATCTGATAGAGAGTCTCCTTTTATATAAGCGAATATAAAAGAATCTATTCTTTTTTGGAGCGTATTTTCAAATATTGAATACTTATGAAAAGTGTTTTTCCTAAAAATTTAATATAATGCTTAGCACAATATATAAAATTAAAATATCTATAATTATTTTCTATATCACACTTTTCATTACACCTTGAAAAGTCTTCTCAAACTCTATTTTTAATTATTTTTTAGATATATCTCAAGTGTGATTATTCAAAAACTCATATAGACTATATTTATTTTTTTCATTCAAAAAATTATATCAGAATCTCAAATTAACTTTCAAATTTTTTATTTTAAAAACATATTAATAATCATATTTTAAGATACTTTTTCGCCCAAAAAATAATCGTACTTCCTCGACGATTAATAGGCTCTCAATTTCTATCGTTGACACTACTTAGCATGCAACAATCGAAGATATTTCATGATTGATAATTCAGATATGTTTGAATTGGACTTTATTTCTTCTCAATTGTTTTTTATCATCACACAATTTTTGTGAGAAATGATTTCGTTTTATATAACCATCGCTACATATTGATATAAATTTGATTCCACTGTGTAAAAATATTGAAACTTTCATAAACTGTAAAATGTTCTGTAAAATAATTCTACTATGATTTGGTTTAGTATATTGAATAACACAATAATGGCTCGGCAGCCAAAATTGAATACTATCTCAATTCTGAACAATCATAAAAAGTTATAAAATTCACATCATTTCTTCAGAATGGGTTGCAGATTGAATGATTTCTTCAAAAAGAAGTCTATTATTAAACGCGTATTATGTGTCATTGCCTTCTTGGCAACTGTTGCTGGTCTTGCAGGCCTCACAGTTTGGTACATCAGATGGGCAAAGAACCTAAACCAAGTTAGCAAAGACTGGAGAACCAAGACATACACAGAACTTTTCAATATTGTTGCCTCTTGCTGTTTCTTCTGCATGGCTGGCTGTGCTGCGTGGGTTGTTTGGTTCATTTTCTGGAATTTTGAATGCTGCAAATGTCTTGGAATTATTTTCTTCTGGGCAGCAATGGGTATTTGCTTAGCAGTTCTCGGATTTGCCATTTCTCTAGCAATTAAGGTCAAAGGAAAGTATTATTGCACAAATGCAGTTATTTGGGGTGATGATAATATCAATTGCAGAGGCTCATTTGTTCCAAATGTTGCATTGCTCTCTACTTTAGGTTTCGGTCTCATCTTAGATCTTATTATGAAATGCGATTAAATTGTACTATTCCAATTACTAAAAATCATTTTTATTTCTTATTTTAAAGATCTTCAGTTCTTGATTTACTTAATTTTTTATTTTTTATTACAAATATTCTTTAATTTGAATCTCTATTTGGGATATTGTAAAATTTCAGAACGAACAACATCTTGGAAAGTAAGAGAAACAAAACGAATGTCAAAAAAATAAAAATTTTTAAATAGACTTGGTAATCATATATTTACATCTATGATTCATCATAGGCATAAACACGTAGAAAGATTTTTTTCAAGCAGCATCAAATATTGCAATATTAAAGTAATCGAAATGTTAAATAAAAGGTAATGCTCTGGTAAAAATACTTTCTGTTAATGTGCTGTAACTTTAAATAGTATGTATCTAGTTCAACGTTCTGTATTGTCTGTATAAAATCGAGAATTGAATACAAATTGAACAATATATGTATGAATTCAGGTAAAAGTAATTGCATTGAGTATTCCAACCATTCACTTAAGTTCGAGCTAGAGACAGCTATAAAATTTTTCCGAGACAAGTTAGATTTTCCATAAAATCTACGTAAACATCATAAAAATATCCGTTAAAAAAATTTTTATCCGATATGAGGCTGTAACTGCGGCCTATTTGAAACAGAAGTAAGTAGACCTATGACTCCTATTCATTACGTTAGCGAAATCGGAGATTTACCTGAAGTATTTACTCTCCAAAAACAACACGTAATCATGCTAAAAAATTAGTACCAAAACAAACAGGATTAAGGTTTGCACCTAAAAACGTCGTTTCTCTTGATATCGAATCAATTCCAAAATCTTGCCCAACTTCTGCACGTCGTCCGAAGTCAGTAATGACAAAACAACCTTTCAAATCATTTGGAAGATCTCCCTCAAGGCCTCAATCTCGCCTCCCAACAACTAACGAAATCAAAAATCTTCGAAAACAAGTAGAATCTAATCAACCACGTGTTATTCATTGGGGAAGTTCTACAGATCAGATGCCGTATTACAATAATCTTAATATAGAAGTCGAACCTGAAGAACCAAACCCTGATAATATTATCAAAGATCAGGAAGAAATAGATATTTCTAGACCATTGCAACCAGTTGGTTTAATATCAAATACAGCTTCTATCATGGATTATTGCGGAATTCCTAGTTCATTGACTTTCATTCGTTAACTTCTGATATCAATTCAATTATCATTTCTTTGTTTGTATAAATCAATTGCGTTTTCGTAATTACCAATTTTTTTTAACTTCCTTCTTTTTATTGGAATATAAATTTGAAATTCCTTCCAAATTCATACCAACTATACTTTTAAACGCAAATAATTTTGATTATTATTTTATTCTTATAATTGATTGGTAAAATAAGTAATATTATTTTAAAACAATGGCAATTGATAAAATGTTAGGATAACATCTTGTGTATTTGGTTCACTAGATCCAATATTAATTGCATTTCTTGTTCCTTGAGAAAATTCTAATAACATTTGAGCTGTGATTTCTTTTGGAACCCATTTTGGTCTAGACCCCTCATCTTTTGCATATTTCTCTTTTAAGAAATATCGTCTTTGAGCAATCAGTCTTTGAATCTTTATTTTGTCTTTTTGAATTTTCTTGCAAAGATTATCGACTATGCCATGAGGAAGTTTTGATTTGATATCTGTACCAAATATGATCTTACAAACTTCTCTTTCTTTCTCAATATCAAGTTTATTAAGGTTCAATGAATCATCAGCTTTGTTTTTTGTTGAGTGTAAAATGTTTTCTATTTGATTTTCAGCAGATTTTGCGATATGATTTAGGCAGTTAACACAATCATCAACTTCCTTCTGGGCAGTATTTTGATCAATTTGTTTATCATATTTCATTATTTCCATCTTTTTCTTGAAATTGCATATGACACTTTTCTTTAGTTCATTGTATTTCTCTAAAATGTTAATAATGCATATCATTCTAACCACTGCTAAAGCATTTGTGTTAGCTTCCAAACCAGGGAATGTAGGTTTATATAATTTTTGAACTGTAAGATTTCCAAACCAGGCATTTGGGAAATTATCTGATTTTGTAAATGTATCTATGTTATCAGTTACAGGAGTTAATTGTAGACTAGGCAATTCTCTGTAAAGCACTTGGAAAGATCACTACTTGCAATATCTAGTGAAAAATTCTCGCCGACATCTTCTTCTTCCATTAAACAATAAAAATTTCAAAATGCATCAAATTTGAGAAGTTTACAAGAAGCAAAAAATATAATAAAATTTAATGATCTTTTGATTAAGCATTAGAACAATTAGATCTTCATCAAAATACAAAAAAATCTACATTGATTAAAATCATATTCAATTGATTTTTCTAATATTAAACCCGTCATGAAATGATATAATGATGTTTTAATGTAATACTCATTTAAATGGAATTATTTTGTTTTTTGTAAAGATTATTGAATTCGAAATTTTGATTGGGAAAATATTGATTCCATATATTCATTATGAAGTTATTAATAGAAAAAATCAATCATTTTTGATATGCATTAATCTAATTTTCTTAAATCAGTTTCTCGAAATCAAATTTTTTGTTAATGATAAATTAAAAGATGGTTTAATACATCGTTTTCATAGAACTATATTAAATGCCTTATTTGATATTGCTATTTTCAAGGTAACTGTCATTACCCATTAAATTCCATTGAAAAAATCTAACGAATAGTTTTGACAAGAAACTTGACAACACCAACAGAAAAAAATTTGTTAGCATTACTCTTTTATATTATATATTGTTATGATACAAGGAGTGTTTTTGCGCGGACTATAGTGAGATTGGTCAATTCAATTGTACTGAAATGGTGAGGTTATTTTCAAAGTTTTCTAAGAAAATTTTGTATCCCGATAATTTAAAATTTATCTTTCAGTATAATAAATTTCCTTCCTGAAATAATGAAAAATAATTATCAAATAACGATTGGCCGACGGTTATTTTGAATACATCTGAATACTGAAAAAATTCGACTTCATTTTTCACTAAAACTCAATGAAGATCTTGATTATTGATGGTGCAAAGGAATTCATTTCTTCCAAGGGCAAGCTTAATGAAGCTCTTGTTGAGTACGCAGTAAAATCTCTCAAAGAAAAGGGACATGAAGTTCAAGTTACAAAAGCAGATTCAAATTACAACTGCGAAGAAGAAGTAAAGAAGATTGTATGGGCAGATGTTCTCCTTTAGCAGTTCCCAATCTGGTGGTTTGGAACACCATGGCATGCCAAGAAATATCTTGATGAAGTTTTCTTCGTTGCAATTTGGTCTGGTGATGGCCGCTCAAGAAAGGATCCATCAAAGAAGTACGGTGATGGCGGCCTCTGCCCCAACAAGAAGTTCATGCTTTCATTCACATGGAATGCTCCTGTTGAATCATTAACAGATCCAAATCAGTTCTTCAAAGGATTAGGAGCAGATAGTGTTCATGGCCCAATTATTAGATCCCATGAATTCTGTGGAATGAAGCAAATTCCATCATTCCAATGCAATGATGTTATCAAGAACCCAGACTTCGATTCTTACATTAAGAATTATGAAGCTCACCTTACACAGTATTTTGGAAAGCAATAAATCATAAAAATTATAAAGATAATTTATTTATTCTATTCATTTTTTACAGTTTTCTGTAATAATTATGAAACATTTTTGCTTATATGTAAAAGTTAATATAATAACTAAAGCCTCCTATGAGGTAACATCATTTTATGATTTTTAAATTTATATTACTTTATGATGGATTTAAAAATAAAATAGTAAAAATATGATCAATATGATATACTATAGTGTATTTTGTGTGACAGTCTGAGAGAACAAAAATGACAACTTTCTGCGAAAATAAATATTCATCATTGTTGTTATTATTAAAAACTTTTTCTTGTTCATAAAAAATAAATGATCGAACACGAAACTGGGTCATTGTTACATCAGGTAACTCCGGAATTATCATATAACAAGAATTATCTGTGAGGTGATCATCAATAATGTTCCATTGGGATCCATTATAAAAATTTAATTCATAAAACACAATATTTTGATCTAATGATATTCCAGATTGGGTTGGTAATGAAACAACTGACCAATTAACTTCAACATTTTGATTAATAAAACCTTTTCTTGGTACATTAATATTCGAAGGTTTTTCTGGAGGAACAACATTATTCATGTTAATTGTCCCGACAACATTATATAAAATTACAGTTTTGTCGTGACTGTTAGTATAAACAACTGTGCTATTAAAAGGGTCGGGATAAAGTCCATCGCAAACACTTGCCCCTGATGATATTTGTCTATCAAGAGTAAAAGTTAATGGTAAATTTGGGGATGTCGTTTTAAGAATTCTAACATCAGGTCGATAACTATCAGCTATTCCTACATACATATATCCATCACAATCAACAAAAAAATTAGAACTAAACATATCTCCTGCAAAATTAGTTCCGCCTGATATTCCATACGTTCACCAAAAAAAAATTTCGATTTTTGCTGGCGACCCCCCCCTTCGCTCGATATTTTTTTTGTGAACGGGGGGTCGCCAGCAAAAAAAAGATGTCAAAATTTATCCCAAAAATTTTAAAAAAATCGAAGAAAGTGCATCTCAGGGATTATAAAATTTAAGTTTTCACATCTCTAATGTTAAGTATCAAAAAGAAAGGAGGTCTGATATAGACAACATATATCGTTGAAGGTTGAAAAAATTTCTAATATTTGAGGCCAAAATTTCAAATTTTAATTTTTTGAAAAAAGAGGCCACCCGTATGTACGTTTATTTGAGAGGAGGAGGATTATATTTTTGAACGGGTGAAACATTATGAATATGTTAATTATATAATAATATGTATTATTATAAAAAAGAAAAAATAAAGCACGTTAAAATTTTTCTTTCTTGATTTTTTACAAAATCTACTTAGAATTATGCAAAATATGACTAAATAATTATAAATTTCAAGTTAAATTTTAATTTTGATAAATAATTTAAATTTCAAAATATCAAGTTCAGTTCGACTATGTATGTAGTAATTCCTCAATAAAGTGCCAAAACCCTATTAAAATATATGAACATTTTCAACATTTTAATGTTTTTATTTAAAAATTTGATGGAATATGAGCTTCAAACAATTATTATGTAAATAAAAATAATTAAATATATGTATTTATTCGTATTACAACCGTAGTAAGTCGATTCTTCCTTTCTTCTACTGAGGTTTGAATTTGATTTCGAATTGTAAAGAGATTCAAAGGGAAAATACTAGCGGATAAAAACTACCTCCATGAAAGGGTCATAATGGACTCAAGTTGTATTTTTTGATATTTTTTGCTTTTCGAGCCTAAATAGGTAGCCAAGATAATGCCTAAAAATAAGGTTCTAAATTCTGAAGTTTACATGGTCCTCTCGTGTGCACCCTTAATGAATGGCTAAAATGTTTATTATCAAAACGAATAAAATACTATTCTTAAAAAGAAAATAATTTCCAAAACAGTTTGATTGTCGATCTATTAGACATTGTTTAATCTTGTAAGAAATCTTATTATAAGTAACAAATGGAGAAAGGTTTGTCATTTTCAATTTTTCATTTGATACACATCGAATGAAATCATATATTCCATCTCCACCAAAATCTTTATTTGAGCAATTTATGAATACGCAATCCTCAAATGTAGCCTTATATCCTGTACTTATGTAAAACAATGTCTCCTGCTCTGAATCATCTATAAAATTACAAAAAATAGCTTTGTACGAGCATATTCCGAACTCAAGGAAAAAGCCATCATAGCATTTGTAGACTTGACAATTTTGAACATATGTTCCAGAATGTCCATTCCATATTGATACCAATCCAGCACCTTTATATCCGTTATTATAACTGCCATTTAGCATATTACAGAAAAAGGTTTCGTTGTTGAGAAATATGCAACTATCGCCTTTCTTATCTTTATCTGGACTACATGATGTGTATGATGAATAAGAAATGTTGGTTTGTGAATGATAACAGAAAACGGCGTTTCCGTGGTTGTCGTTTCTCTTGATAGGAATAAAACATTCGAGAAAGATATTGTTATTGAATGAAACAGGATTATCCGTGATATATATTGAACCTCCTTCGAGAGATGATGAACACTTGTAAAATAAATCTGAATGCAATTTAAGAACATTTTTGATATTATTGATATATATTGCACCACCATTTGATGTTGATGATATTGATACAAATTTACTACAAAAAATTTCAGCATTATTAAAAGTTAGGAAAGCTGAATTATTAACCTTATTTCATATTAATTTATTGAATTGTTTTGTAATGTATTTAATTACTACACAAATATTTAAGAAACTATTCAATGGTGTAATGAGTTAATTTTATTCTAACTTGGCACTATTATTTACTGTTGGTTAAAAAAATGGCTAGAAGAAGTGATATTATAACAGCATCAGCACATAAACTCCTTTACGGTCGTAATGTATCTTATTCAAATTTTTGATAGAGATTCTTCATTAGAATAGTATGATTGTTATACTTTTTGCTATTCTAATAAAGATATATTGATTTGGTAAGAGAATGTCATAAAGTGCATCTTAAAAAAAATTTAGGACTCTAATTGGATTGCCAACAGTAAAATGAAATGGTGTTGATGAAGTATATTATTATTTCTACAAGTTCCAGAAATAACTGGTTCAATAACTATGATTCCATCTCCGAAATGACCAATACTTTCTGTCAAATCAGGTTCTTTCATTCTTTCATTCCCATCGATAAATTTTACATTTTGCATTTTATTATTAGCATAACTACTTCCACCTCCACCAGCTCCACTGTCAGCACCTCCACCTCCGCCATAGAATCCACTTCCGCCACCTCCGGATGAAGCGTAACAAGTAGCACAAGCATTCCCACCTTTCAAAAAAGTTCCAGAATCAGCAGTACATTGAGAGCACCCATCAAAATAACTACCTCCTGTACCTGGTTTACTAAAACTAGCACCTTGTCCATAAAATTTATGGTTGTTTCTAACGGTTCCATTACCATTCCCAGCTATTCTCCCGCCATAACCACCATTATATTCTTTTTTTTTCAAAAATTGCTGAACCACCTCCTGAACCTGAGATCAAAAATATATCATTTTTGTTATTATATGATGAAATGAAAGTTGCACCTCCTCCGGTGCATGAAGAAAAATTATATTTCGGTCCTATTGCATTTAATCCTCCTTGATAAAAGATTGTTTCAGACTTTACATTACTACAATGCCCTCTTGTTCCTACATAAATATCAAATTTTGTAGTTTTATCAAGAATTATACTCCCTTCTGAATAAGCACCTCTTCCTGCAGATATATTGTGCAAAAAGCCTCCTTGAGATCCCCAAACCCTAAAAACATATTTATGAGGGGATAAAGTTACGCTTTGAACATATGGTTTATATGTGAATACTAAAGATTTAATTAATCCAGGAAGTTAAAATGAACTTTTCTACATATACTTAAAATATAGCATTCATAAATGAATGCATTGTTTGGGATTTGTAGATTTATAAATAAAAAAGAAATATCTATTTTTAAATTTTATTTATCATTAGGTTAATAACTGAATTCCAAACTTCATTATAGAATAAGAATATGAATATTACATTGGGAAGTTATTTTGCAAATAGTCATATATGATATTTTGAAATTTTGATGTAATTTGCGCTTAAAGAATATCTTCTTATTAGAAATAGCAGTTTAATTAATAGAGTTATGAACAAATTCATTTTAAAAAAGAAATTTATCCTCATATGTTTAAGTCCTTTCGAAATGACTAATTGAGATCTAATTATTAATAGTATTTGATTTGTATTTGAAGAAGATCGATTGTCATGCTCCATATAATCATTTTAAAATAGAATAGCTAAATAGGACATTTTTATTTCAAAAAATTCAATGAGTTATTCTGAATTTATTTTTAATGGTTCAAATCAAACTTAATTATTTTGAATGACATTATCCAAAAGGCTTCAACAAAATTTTTTTAAAGATGATGTTGTTGAAGTAGCTAAAAAGCTTATTGGAAAGCTTATTTGTCGAAAATTCGAAGATGGCACAATCAAAAAATTTCGAATTAATGAAACGGAAGCATATGCAGCTCCAGATGATGCTGCAAATCACTATAATAGCTACAACGAAAAGAAGAAAAGCCAATTAAATATAGAAAAAGGTTTATTGTATTTGTATATTTGTTATGGAATTTATTGGATGGTTAATGTTACAGCTGGACAAGGAAGCAAACCAGAGGGTTGTTTAATTAGAGGCATTGAAACTGCTCCGGGACCAGGAAGAACAGGGGCAAGATTAGAAGTTTCAAAATCAATGCATGGAATTGATTTAACAACATCAGATATTATCTGGATAGAAGATGACGGCAATAATTGGGACTATATTTCAACACCTCGAGTAGGTATTGATTATGCTCCTGAACCATGGCTAAGTAAACCATGGAGATTTTATCATGAAACGGAAGAATCGAGAAAATATGCCTCAAGGCTTGGTAAATCAAAACCAAAGAAGAAGAAAAAATCTGATGATGAAAAATCTTCTCAGAAATAACAGAGATATTTTAATTTAATAGAGATTCAATATGAATAAAAATAATTGTTTAAATTTTATTTCCGCGCTATTTGGTTATATCTACTAAGTTTGCATTGTGATAACTTTAGAGTGATATAGTATAAAAGTTTCTTATATGAAATTTACACACATAATATTGTTACTATCAAAGTATATTGTTTAATTAAAATGAAAAGTTAATAATGCCATTAATTATCATGAAAGTTTGATTTTTTCCCATGATTGAAATGTGCATTCCAAATTGTGAGCATTTTCGTTAATTGTTTGCAAATCCATGAATGTTGAAAATAATAAAAATTCAATTGTTTTTAAATTTTATTCCTTCAACGAAACAAAAAAAGTGACACAAAATGAATTTTTTGCTTTTCTCGCTATTTTCTAAGTGTTCAGAGGTTAATGGTATATTCAAGCGAGTATATTCTGATAAGATAGTTGTTTTAGATGTCAGTGGTTCATCGAGTCAATACATTAACGGGTCAAGACAATTAACAAAACCAGAATATGCAATTTATCCTTGGGATAAAAACTATGATTGGTGTTCTAACTGTTATCGTAGCAATGATGAGCATCCATATATCACATTTTCTTTAATTAACAAAAAATTCAAAATTAAAGGATATTTTCTTCGTGCAGGCTGCTGCTATCAAAATGGATGCTGTTGTGAAGAAATTGGCTACTGTGTAATGTGTTGTTTGTATAGCTGGTCCTTGCAAATATCAGATGACAACAAAACATGGAAAGAAATTCATCGAATTGATAAAGATATTGAAATGAGAAGATGCAAAGAGCAAACATATAATTTTGATCAAGAATACACAGCTAAGTATGTTAGACTTATCCAGAACGAACCATGTCCTGAAGATCCTCCTTGTATTGCATTAAATAAAATTGAATTTTTAGGTGATGTGACAAACTTTGACATTAACGAAGAATTTGTATCATATCATGATGACGATGATGATGTTAGTATTATAGGTCATATATCCAAAAATGGAAATGTAAGATTTAGTTAGTCTTTTTTATATAAACTTATCATAATAAAAAAAATCTTTCAATTTTTACCTTGATTTTACTAAAACTTTTAATATTACAAAAACAAAGATGAAATTTTACAGTTAGATTAATATTATCACTGTAAATGCAAGTTTTATATCTAACAAAATACCATTTTCTAGTTTAATTGAGAATTTATTAAATATGCATTGTTTTGTTTTGATTTTGAATACATTTAAAGCTTTGTGTAAGTTGATTGAACATTAGAGGAGCACCGAATAAACTCATATTGTCCACTCCCAACAATTTCTTTGTTTAAATTATTTACAAAAACGCAGTCTTCAAAACTTACTTTTCCTCCCGAAGTCCAGAAAAAATATTTTTGATTTGAACCATCAATGAAATTACAAGCTTTTATAATATAGGAACATGCTGAAGCTATATTCATAATAGTAATTCTCGGATATACGATTATTTTTGATTTAAATGCTGTTTGCCATTAAGACTCCGGTCCCGCATGATTGCTGCATATGGTTAGAATCGCCATCTTATGAGGATTCAAAATATAACAACAGAATGTTAATACAGTGACTCTATTCGAAATTTAAATTAATCAGATTTAAGGATGTAAGGAAATCCCCAATCCACTTGGGCTACTTGAAGTTTGGGATACCATCCATCCCATATTGAAATTTTTCAATGAGTTTCAAGAAAAAAATAAAAAAATGGGCGAAGGCAAAAAGAGATTAAAAATATTTATCTATAAAAGTATAATATTATAAGCAAATTGTGTAATTTTAGATATAGTATCCCTTATATTCATAAATTGAAAATTTGAAAAAAATTAGAAAATTGAAATTATGCCAAAAAAAGGTTAAGCCCTATAACTGCAGTATGAATGGGTTGTGATGGTAGTAAGAATGGGCTAGCGCAAAGTACCCACTCAAAACTTTCCCGCCAAAAAGCGCAAAAGTGTCATTTCTATATGGAAGATCATAGCTGGAGTCACGCTCATCCATCCCCTTACTGGGATGATGTGCAGCCTTTGTTCTGACCAATCATAGTGCTGCTTCATTCATACCAGCAAGTGGTTCTGGAATCAGACCTCAGCTTGGTCTCCCATAAGAGCTCTGCAAACCAGAAGCACAATAATTGTGCAGCCTAGTTACTAGGATATAGTAGTTAGGCCGCAAAATTATTGTGCTTCTAGCGATATTAGTTATACGTTATTGCACACAAGCACTTATACTACCGCTCTCTCGCTCCTAAAATGTCAGATACTTCGTAATTACATGAATAGGGCCAAGTTCTTCCGAGGCCTCTCATTCAATGAGAGACTTCGGAAGAACTTGGTCCTAAAGTATTCCTACTACTGTTCTCTGGTCTGTAAAGGACTAAATAAGCTACAATTTGTCGATAAGAATAGAATTCCTCCGAAATCTCCCATTCAATGAGAGGCCTCGGAGGAATTCTACTCCAAGGTAATGTGCTTGTAGTTTCTGACTTTCTATTGAACGGAAAATGTAATTTTACTCGAAAAGAACAAAAGTTCTTCCGAGGCCTCTCATTGAATGAGAGACTTCGGAAGAACTTTTGCTCTAGTGTAATGCACGTATATTCTTGGGTTCATGGAGAGCGAGAGAATTTGTTTGTAATTCGTTTTTGCTGAAGTTCTCCGAATTTCTCTCAATTGAGGAAGGAAATCCGGAAAACTTCAGCATGAGTTAATTGTGGTGTAACTCTCTGGGTATTTACCGGCCAGAGAGCGAGTAAAATATTAGAGAGCGCATAGTCTCAGTATAGGTATGCGTACTGTAAATAAACTGCGTGACAAAACCTAGGTGAGGATCAGACTTTTTGATAAAACACATTGAATTAATTCTATGAGTTTCATTCAAATATTGTCAGAATTTCTCACCTAGGTTTTGTCCCAGACGATTATTTTTTTTATTCAGCTTAAACAATAAAACAACCAAATATATAAATAATACTTCCACGTGTTTCCATGGAAATTTCGTTTTTATCCAAACTTTCTGAAGATATTGCATCATATTCTGTTGAAATAGTAATGCAATCTTAATGTAAGCTCGCCAATTATGAGAAAATATCATGTGTGTTGGATGCACATGTATGTTTTTCGTTTTTCTGAGCTAATTTGGAAAATAAGATTCTATTAGATATTAAAACAAGCATTTAAAGCAACAACCTATTTCCATAGGTGTTTACATTGCTTAACAAGTGATCTGGCAATATAAAACAACTGAGTTTCTAGCTGGAATCCATACTTACCATATGCTCTCTCTCAAAAATTGAGAGTCACCTAGGTTTTGTCCCGCAGTTTATACGTTATTTTTTACTTTCGTATGAAGAAATAGCTTCTCATTTTTATGCTTCTATATACTTTTTTACTAAGTAAATCGCCTATTTTCTTATTAAAGCCTAATTTTTCCACGTGATTCAGAATCTCTGCATCCCAAAAATTCGTTTTCTGCGTTCAGCACGCGAAAATATGCAGTATATCTCAAGATAAAGAGGATATCATCATCATCATTTATTTTGAACAATTTTTGAATTTCTACCAAACATCAAAAAGAGGTCATAATCAGATAGATATCATAAAATAACATCTATCTACCGTGTTTTGTTTTGCTGAAAATCTCCAAAAAAATCTTGATTTTGCAAATTTGATAAGAAAAACTACAATTTTGATGACAAAAATTAGCAAAACTACAAGCACATTACCTTGGAGTAGAATTCCTCCGAGGCCTCTCATTGAATGGGAGATTTCGGAGGAATTCTATTCTTATCGACAAATTGTAGCTTATTTAGTCCTTTACAGACCAGAGAACAGTAGTAGGAATACTTTAGGACCAAGTTCTTCCGAAGTCTCTCATTGAATGAGAGGCCTCGGAAGAACTTGGCCCTATTCATGTAATTACGAAGTACCGGGCTCTTTGGGAACCTGTGGAAAGTAATGTAGTGCATTTGGCCAACATCGGATTACTAGTATATCTCTAGAAGCGCAATGTCCACACAGCTTAGCTACTATATCCTGACAGCTAGACTATGTGAACATTGCACTTTTGGTTTGCAGAGTTCTCACAAAAGACTGAATACACATATGATGCATCATATGTTTTCGAAAACACTTGCTGGCATGGATGAAGCAGCATTATGATTGATTAGATCAAAGGCTGCTTACCGTTCCAGCAAGTGTATAGCCTGATGCGACTCCAGTTGGAAGTCCTATCCCATGCAACAATGACACTTTTTGGTCTTTGGCTGGAAGTTTAGATGCTTTCATTAACAGAGCCTATTCTTACCACCATTGATACCAACTCATACTGTGGATATAAATTTTGATAGATTTAATAAAAATTTCATAGTAATTGATTTTATTTATTTTGATATTCATAATTCATTAACTGATATCTTCATCACACATAACAAAAAAGCATTTCTATATTAATTGCTTCATTGACGCTGTTCTATTATCATATGTTATTCAATTCAATCTGCTTGAATATGTTTTCTGATCAAACAAATCCACAGATATATTTTCCAAGACATAGGAACTATTATTCATATCTCAGATCTCAAAAATATTATTTTTTTTATTTTAATTTTTTTCAAAAATTGCTTTGAACTAGTTATTTGTAGTAGTGAAAATTCACTACTATTGAAATATATTTAAAATAATTATCAATATCTAATCCGACGATTATTAGGGATTGGGATTAATCCCAACCCCATTCTCAATTCCTTTCAAATTTTGAATTGGACCCGGGATGGGATAATCCCAAATAATCGTCTGCAAAAATCGCAAAATGCTTTTTCGTGACTAAAAGTAAGAATTATTTATATTAAGTGTATTATATCATATAACTCATAGAAATAGCTCAAAAAAAATGCTTGGGCTAAAAACTGTCAATTTTGGGATCCCAGGGCTAAAATTTTTTAAAGTTTAACATCCTTAATCAGATTTCCAAAATAATTTATCTTGACTATCAACTAGATGCAATAGTGATATTTATCATGTAGTAAGATGTTATATTGATTTAGTTTTATAAATTAAGATAAAGAATCAAATTAATATTATTTTTCGCATAACACCCAATTTTATAAGGGATATTTATATGTGGTGCTCAAATGAACATTTTTTATTCATTTTACGCTGGAAAATCTAATCTGTAGTATCAATTATCAGAATTGATGAATGATAATAACACTTTTCATAATTAAGGTTAATTGTAAACTTTTTGACATTCATTTAGAAATAACTTTTTTAATCGGAATAAGAATAATAATCTCCATCAGAATGTGATGCAGAAGTATCGGAATAATAAGTACCTTCCGAGGATTCGTTTTCTTCAGATTCGGATTCTCCTGAGGATAAATATGAATCCATTGCATCGGAAACAAATGATAATTCGTCGGAATAATCTGAATTATCTGAATGAATATCATCAACGCATCCTGGAACTTTCTTTTCTTGCTCTTCTTCTTCATCATCAACAACAAAATCATCAGAAGTTGAGGAATAATCTTCACTTTCTGATTCTATTCGAGGAATTGAAATTTTTGTCCTTTTTTTAGTGCTGTTTTTCTTTTTGGGAGGAAGTTTCTTTTTAGGAGGTGGAAGTTTCTTTTTGAGTTTAGAATATTCTTCACCTATATAATCATCAAAACCATCCTTATTCATTTTATTTGATCTTCTCTTTTTTTGTCTTTCTAAATTTTTCTGGCTGTGAATTTCTGATATTTCATATCTTAATTTTTCATATTCCAGTGTTTTTGCATGATTTTCAAGAATTGCTCTGCAATCTTCATCTAGAGGTGGAAGATTTAATTTTTGATAGAGATAAAACCTCCATCCATATCCTTCATTAATATCCAAAATTGCTGCGCAGACTCGTGCTTTCCAGCTCGATTGCCAATTAAAATTTTTATCAGCATATTTTGCCTTTAATGAATGGAAACATTCACATAATTGTGTAGAAACCGAGAAATAGGTTTTATCAAAAAGATGTGTAGTGCTTTCCAATAATTCTCGAAGGGCCTCAATAGCAACTTCGTCATCTTTTTAATCCCAAACAAATTCACGAGTTTTCTTCTTTTTTGATTTGATTTTTGATTTATTATCTTCACGACTATGCAGACATTCGGAATGATCTCCACAATAATGATTGAGTGAATTCATCCAATGTTTCTTTTTCTCATCAACAGATTCATCCAAATAGTATAACACATTCAAATAATTCCTAAGCCTTGCGCGTAAACCAAAAAGTTTGCGTTGATATTTTGAATTAACTTCTTTGAAAATTTTATCGAATGACTTTGTCATATGATTCTTATCGATATATTCTGGAATATTCCATTGAGAATTTGCGAATACATTGGATGATTTTGCATCACGATCATGGCAAAAACCTGATATTCTTTTATCATATTTTGCATATTTGACAAAATCTTTGACACCAGAAACTTCCATTCCGTTTGATGCTCCTGCAAAATTCCCAAAAAGTTTATGATTATTTTTTTCTTTTATGGAAAAATAAACAATTTTTCTATTTTTTGTATCTATGAAATCTGTAATACAATGAAAAGCGTTGCGTCGTTGTGACCAGCTTCCATCAAAAGCAATGATAGTATTATGATCCATTGCATCCCAGTAATGTTTACAACTTTCTTCAGCCATTCTACAGATTGCATTTTCAACTCTATGTAAATTTCTATAATATGTTGATTTTGAGGGAGGAGTTATACTATTCCATGCTAACATTCTTGAAATACTCGCGTAATTTAATCCTTATACTAAATTTGAAAATACAAACAATAACGAATTTAGATTTGATTCTCTCCTTCTTTCATGATTTTGTAACCTATATTGATGCAATCTCCGATCTCGAGCACTTTTATTCCCCATTCTCACTTTTTTACAAAAAAATAAATATTTAAGGTTTAAATTTTATTTAGAAAATCAGCTTAAAACTACACACTACATTGATCTTTTTTTGATGTTTCTTTAAGTCTCAAATACTTTGTAACTTATACTTCTTGTCAATAAAACTTATTCATATTTTAATCATGCACACCAATATAAAATTGTAGTTCAAAAATGACCCACTTCTATCGTCAAAAATCCTCTCAATTTGAAAAAATACATCAAAATTATCAAATTTGCAAACCTAATTCTTCGAAATACCGAAGAATGTAGAATATGATAATAGTGTCAATAGAAACTATATAATTTTCTTTACAAATTGTCGAAGGGGAACTGAGAGTTTTTTTCTTATACGTTGAATTATAATTCAAATTATTGAATGCATTTTTGAAAAATTGAATACTCAATTATCGAAAAACCATTTTGACACAAAGTGATTAATACAATATTGTTGCCTATATTAAGTAATTATCATATATGATTTTTATTATCATATCAATTAATCGTGCATGAAGTTATTCTCGACGCAAAAATGGTTTTTTATAGGGGTCTTGCAAATCTAATTCTTCTTTCATATATTTTTTTAGAAGCAAACTCACTATATCAAAATAAACTTTAGTTGCATTCTAACAATTTGTCGAAGGGGAACTGAGAGTTTTTTCTTTATTATCAAGATATGACAAAAAATGTTAATATACAATTTTTTAATATTCGACATAAATAGCGATAATGTAATATTATATGATTTTATTATATTATGATAGCATATATAAACCTTATCATATTATTAAAACTTTCACAAATCAAAAATCTTTAGATTCTGTCAAAAAGTGATTTGTCAGATTTTTTCAAAAAAACAAATAACTCATCTAGAAGAGATTGAAAATCAAGTTTACTAATAACAATATAATGTATCACTAATATGCTATAAAATGTCGTGGGCTTTTTTGATTATAAATAGTTTTACCGGTCAAAGTTGAAATTTGTCAAAATACCGAATTCTCAGATAAGATGAACTATAATAGTAATACTGAGTTTAAATATACAATACTATAGTGTATTACATAATGATATTATATACTAAAATAAAAGTATCAAAAACTCATATTGGTGGAGATATTAAAACTTTTAAAATTGAGAGGGTGGGACCGGAGCCTTAATATTTGATCCACTCATGAAAAAAGTTCCTAATGTTTGGATATTCTCCTTATCTGGAATAGCATCTACCTTATAATCTATAGGTGCTCTGATCAATTTTGCACCATTTTTAGAAAATATAAAATTATTTTTGGAATAAAAATATTGATTTTTATCATCAACTACCAATGTATTTAGATCACGACATTGATTAAAGCAATATCCTGACATAGTTTGAATTGATGAAACAATATGAATTGATGTTATTTGTGTAATAGAAAACGCATTTATACCAATATAATTTAAATTTGAAGAGAAAATAATGCTTTGAAGTTTGGATCTTAAGAAAGCCTTATCTTTAATAGTTGTTATTGATGATGTACTTAAATCTAATTCAGTGCAGGAACAATTTTCGCATGCTGATTCATTGATAATTGTGAAAATTTGATTTGTGATCTTAATTTTATCCTTGTAATCTTTATAAAAAGATATAATTGTATTTCCTGATTGCCTTTCAATATTTTCACTCAAGATTTAAAAGTGATCATATTTTGTAAATGAATTTATTTTTTTTAAAAAAAAGTGACATTTTAAATTTGCGAACGACCAATTAAATAAGTACAGTTATCAATGGTGTTAAGTATACATTAGATAAAGATAATAAATATGCAATTATTGGAGATAAGAATAATCCAAATGATAGGAATGCGATAGCATCAGAGCCATTAAATCTAATTTTTCCAGACAAAGTCCGTATAAATGATGTAGAATATCTAGTAAAAGAAACTGCCCCTAAAGCATTCTACTATCATACAATTAATACTGAAATTAGACTTCCTAATTCTTTGGAAATAATTGGTCATAATTCATTTGATCTAACATTTTATTCTTGTGACCATTTTTATATCCCTGATTCAGTTTACTATATTGGTCAATATGCATTTGCTACAACTCGTATTAAAAACTTACATATTGGAAAGGGAGTTAGAGAAATTGGGACATGTATTATTGGAAGTGATACAGCTCTTGAAAAAATCATTATTGATCCTGAGAACCAATATTTTTCCAATGATAATCTATATAATTTATATTCAAAGGATATGACAGTTTTATACCAAGTTTGTTCATTCAATGATAATTATGTAACTCCACTCACAGTAACAAAAATTCGATTTAAAGCATTTGATGGTATATCAGCTAAATCAATCACTATTTCAAATGATTGTGAATTTGATGATTCCTTTATATTCCATTATTGCGAATCACTTGAGAATGTCACTTTTTATTGTCAAATTAAAAATGCGAATTTTAGTTTTGAGGGATGTAATAATTTAAAAAGGATAATATATTACTCAAAAAATTAGTTTCTAATAATTTATTCTATTTACATAATTCTATCCCAGAAGTTATAGCTTGCAAACAATATAGAGAAAAATTTTCTAATATTGTTCCTTCTCTAATTGGAGAATGTATTTGTTTCCAAATCAAAACTATTCAATGTAAAATTTTTAATTTTAATATTCAGATATTGTTCTGTTTAATTCTTGATTAAATTTAAAACTGATTTCATAATTGATTATTAGAATAAGTGTCTTAATATTTATTGGTGATGTGATTTTCTAAAATTTTTTTATAATAGGATAGAATTCTGAAATAATTTATCATCTTGTATTATTCTTATATTATAATTTTATAATAAAATAAATGGGCAAAAAGCAAATATAGATATGAAAGAAAACCGAATTTGCTCACATGAATTTTCCATAGGACATTCATCTGAAAACGCAATATTCGGAATTTTCTGAGCTATAAATATTTGCTTAATATCTTGAGGCACAGAGAATGATCCGCATTTCCTGAGCAAAGGGCAACCATCAAAAACTTGATTTCCAAGAGAAATGGAATTTGAAGATGCAATGAATATCAGATTTAAGTTTGGACAATCTTTGAATGCCTGATACTCTATCATCTTAATTTTGTTTCCATTGAAGAAAACCCTGAGAAGAGTTGGACTTCCCATAAAAGCACATCGTCCTATAACTTCCATATCATTTGGTACAATGAAATTTTTGATTCCACTATATGGAATAAAAACCATTAATTTACTTTGATTATGAAAAGTTAAAGCACCATTTTGGAATAAATAAGAAGTATCATATATGCTCAAATTGATAAATTTCAAATTATGACAACCATAGAAACATCCTCCTTCAATTGATTCTAGATTACAGTTAGCCACCATTCTCACATTTGATAAAGATGAACATGATTCAAATGCAAATTCTAGAATTTTTGTTAATCTTTTAGGTATTGTGAATCCAATTAATGAAGTACATTCTGAAAATGCAAAAGGACCGATTTGACTGACACCTTCATTCAATGTAAGTGTTTCTAAAGAAGTGCATAATCTACAAAGACCTGATGGAATTAAACAACTAATTGATAGATTGCCAATTGAAGATCCATAAAAAGCCCTAACACCAACAGATTGAAGGGTAAGTGAGAGCATTGCAGATATCAACCCACTTTGCATGAAAGCATAGTTTGAAATTGTTTGTAAATCATGTAAATCTGAGAGACCAACATCTCCTAAAGATGAGCAACCATGAAATGAAGAAATTCCAATTGTTATTATAGAAGATGGAAGTTTAATTGATTGAAGATTCTTACATGAAAAGAAACAATAATCCGAAATTTCAGTAATTTGAGTTCCTTGAAAAGTAACAGAGGTCAATCTAGCACAATTTTGGAACGCTTTAATTCCTAGACTTTTCAAGCCAATTGGGAAAATAATTGATTGAATAGTAGAAGATTCAAAAGCATTATTTCCAATAGATATATTTTCATTTTCTTTGTTTATTTCAATAATCTTTTCATAATTTATCCATTTTGATAATTTCGATTTTTTTCAAAACGCTCTCAAATCTTTACAATTTGTGAGAATAATTTTATTCCCATATCAAAATTCAAATTTGTTTTTTTTTTAATAATTGCATTTATCTATTAATATACTATCTATTTTTTCAATTTTTTATTTTCTATTTTTTATCAATTTTTTTCAAAATAAAATTTCTCCTTTTTCAACATTCTCCTAAACATTTTACGAAATCTTGCTAATATTTGCTTTCCCCATATTTATGGATGTGTTTCACCATCAATATACTTTCTATTTATTAAATTTCAATAAAGAAAAATCTCATCTTTCTAATTCCTTCATGAAAAATCCGAATTCATACTTGATTTATTATATACATTTTTACTAGCTATTGAATCAATTGTACTAACAATGTTAATTTCATTATCTAACTATAATATAAAATGTAAATTATAAAATATTGTTTAAATTACATACTAACAATATAATATTATTGATCTCATCATGCACAACCATCTTACCGTTCATTTCCATCAAAAACTCAATATTTACTATAAATATAGTAATTATATCATTTGAAAAAATCCAAATTTCCTCCTAATTCATATATTTCATTTTAAATATTATACATATTCTATGTTCATAATGCCAGATCTAAATCTCAAATAGATTTCGAAATAAATAAAGAACAGAAAGTGTTCCTCTCAAAAAGTGGAATCATTTTCCGGTTCCTCGAACAAATGAGTATATTGGCGGTTTTGGCAGTTATATTGCAGGCAGCGGAAAAGGAAGAGTTTTAAATGGAAATTATTATTATGGAACAGGTGCAACTTCATCTTCTCCTGGAATGGGAGGTCGTTATATCACTAATGAGACAAAATACATTTGTCTTGCTGATAATGGCACTTTTTTGGCAGGAGGCAATGCATGTTCTAAACTTGAGGCTTCATCAGGAGGTGGAGGGAGTGAATTTTACGGCGGAGGTGGAGGTGCAGATATAGGTGCTGGTGGTGGAGGGAGTAGTTGGGCTTCAAAAATACTTAAAAATGTCATATACAAAAATGGAAATGAAAATATCATTGAACCTGATGGATCCAATAATATTGGTCATTCAGGGAACGGATTTATTTCTATCAAACCATATGTATATTGTTCTCTAGGCATAAATAAACCATGTTTACACTTTAATATTCTTTATACATTTGTTTTTATTTTGATGGAAAAATAATTTTTTTACCATTATTGATAATAATAAATAAAAGGTGAAATATCAATAAAAATCTCGATAATTCTATCAAATATCGTAGTGATGCGAAAAATTCCCAAACATATGGGGTTTCTCATATCCCGTCCCCTATCGTTTCCCCAATTCAATTTTTTTTTGGAATTTTATTTTTTTTTCTCGCCCATTTGAATTAAAAATGGGCGATTTTCGTTAATGTGATTGAAATATCATAAAATTAATACGTATTTTAGCTAATAATTCTATTTTTATACAATATTCTCTCATTAAATCAACATTTTTTCTAATTTTAATTTTTAATTTTTAATTTCTTCATAATTTTAGCGATTTATGCTCATTATTAGCAAATAAATAATATATAATATACTTATTTCATTTTATTCAGATAGGTCTTTGGGATTGGGATACCTTGTCCAAATTCAGAGGAAGTTTGAGAGGTTGGGATGGGGTAGCCCATATTCAATTATCCCAAGTGTACTCCACGAATTTAAAATTATATTATATTATTGATGACATATCTAAATTTATAGATAAAAATTTCAATGCGTACACAATTTTTTTTGAGAAAATTCTTTTTTTTACTTATTTTCATTCATAAAAGCTCACGTGAACTTAATTAACAACTGAGACATTTCCTATGAAATCATTTAATGCCGTCAAAATAGACATGTCTAAGCTGTTTTGAGTGACTTTCGCTCGATGTCTGATGCAATATCAGACATCGAGCGAAAGTCTCTAATATTGGCAACACATCCATACGATCAATACTATAGCTACGAATTACAAGCCTGTTTGGGCAATTTTTGGCCGAGTTCTGATTTTTCATTAGATCTCGAGCGAAAGTCTCTCAAATTGGCTGCCAGTTCATAAGAGTGAAACTCTAGCTACGAATTAGAAGCTTGCTTGAGAGACTCTCGCTCGCGTTGGGATCTGCATCAGAACTCGAACGAAAGCCTCTCAACGTGGTAAGACCTGCTCATTGTTGAGCAGAAGCTGCGTAATGTGTTCGAGTAGGATTGTACAATAGCTCGGCAAACGCCGAGCAAATTGATATAAACGTACATCCCACAAAAAATGGATTGTCAAAATTTATCCCAAATTTTACAAAACCGCAGCGGTTATGACATCCCAGGGCTAAAAAAAATTCGGAAACTCGCATCTCTAAATATCGGCTACAAATTTGATATTTTTATAATTACTTTCATTTCACATTCAGGCACCATTATAATATATATTTCAATTAAATTATCATGAAAGTTCCATCTCGGAAAAAAATAATGAAATTTTGATGGAAAAAATCATTTTTATACCACATTTGATAATAATAAAGGAAATATCAATAAAACATATACAAATCTATAATCCTCTTTTGTATTACCTGAAATTATTGCAATTACTATGAATTGATACTCAAATTTTGATATAACAATAATTTCTTATACAAGTGTTGACAAGAATAATGAAATATCAATAAAAAATCAATAAACATAGTATAAAAAATCACATTATTGTTTGAAATTTTTATTCATATTGATAGATCAATAAAAAATATAAAATATATGAAAGTGGAAAGAGAATAATGACAAACACAACTTGGAATAATAGGGATAAAAAGTTTAGTAATTCTGATAGCTCCATTGCCTGTATTTCCATAACCATATGTTCCATCGGGAAGTGGCATATATTAAGATCCATCAAGCATTTCTGTGTCGTAGAATGAAAGGCCACTGAAATGGATTGATGATTCTAGGAATTTAGGATTTTCTTCTGTAAAATCTTTCGCAATTGCAACACAACCGTTATGACCGCTGATGAATGAAGAACCTCCAGCACCGCCTCCATATGTCACGTATTGAGAAGCACTGCCACCAAAGTAACATCCTCCACCAGCTCCATTTCCGTCATTAGCTCCATTATCAACGTAATTATTACCATTCCCTCCACCGAATCCGAAACGTCCTTTGTAAACACCTTCTCCAGAACCGCCAGATGTTTGGTTTCCTCCGACACTTGATGAATATTGACTTGAAAAACCAGTCAAGCCGCCACCACTTCCGCCAAAATCAGCTTCTGTTGGTTTATTAAATATTCCATCTGCTGATCCTGAACCAGCAGAAACGATTATTCGGGATTTCAAACCGTCAGGGTATTCAAAATTGCATGAGACTAATCTGATATCTGAAGATCCACCACCGGAGCATTGGCCTGGACCACCACCTCCATATGATGGTTTGGCAGCATTAACATAACCTTTAGATCCTACATGCAAATAGAATTTAGTTGTTCGCTGAAGACCAATCTCACCTTTAACATATGCACCTTTAGAATAATTTGTATCAATATCAAATGTATATCCGGATCCACCCCATAATTCAAAACGATATACACCTTGTTTTAATTCAACTTCATAAGGTTGAAATGTGTAACTGTTCGATCCTGAATAATTATATAATTGACTATTTGCTTGTATATCTCAGATAAGATGATCAGATATTATTATTTTATGTCACTTTTTATTAATTGTTTCCGATCGTAAAATGCATCATTTAATTACATAATTTAATCAATTATGTTAATCTACAGTCTATTTTAAATTGAGAGTAAAATTTGACGGGTCATTTCAAAAATTGAATTCAATTTTGATAACAATGGTCATTAGATCAATCATTTTTATGTTTTGAATAATAGTATCATTTCTTTATATATCTTAAATGTCAAAATATCAGAAATATGTCACTTTTCCTTTTTGAAATGAATCCTATTGATTTATAGTAAAATACGGGGATATTGGGTATATTAAATATTTGTTCGATGAACTATATGGAAAACCGAATGTTACATATAGTCGAACATCTAAATTATTTGGATATCCTTGTGAAAATAAGAATATTTGCAAAAACTATGAGGTTTCACTATTTCCTGCATTGTATAAGATTGAGTGTTGGGGTGCTGCAGGTAACAATGGAAATGGTGCCTATACAAGTGGTTACATTGAATTCAAAAAATTAACAAAGTTATATTTATATATTGGCCCAACAATGGGCACATATAATAGTGTTCCTCCAAACGCAACTTTTTTTAGAGGAGCTTTTTCTGGAGGCGCTACCGATATTCGTTTAAAAGATGGAGATTATTATGATTTTGATTCATTGAAAAGTCGAATTATGGTAGCTGCTTCAGGAGGCTCTCTTGAATGGCAGCTTTCTACTCCATCACCTGCAGGAGGTTTGTCATCTAATTACTCAATAACATCTTTCAAAGAAGAAGGAAGTCCATTGCTTCCAATTAAAATTTTCGGGGCAAATCAAACTCATCCTGGTTTTTCAAATGATATAAGGGTTTTGTCAGGAAAATTTGGAATACCTGGATATACTACAAATGCAACTCAAGATTGGGGTGGCACAGGAGGAAATGGATATTATGCAGGAGCCTCAACATTGATAGCAGGTGGATCTACAGGAGGTTCTTCATTCATTTCTGGACATCTTGGTTGTGATGCAATATCAAATGAATCATCTTCATTTGAAGACATACATCACACTGGTCAACCAATACATTATAGTAACTTGTCTTTCTTTAATACTCAAATGATTGATGGAAAGGGAAAGACACCCCTTCCATGGGTTCATTTTAAGCCTCGAGATTATGAATATGAAGAATTTTATGAGACAGGACGAAGCGGAAATGGCTTCGTTCGTATCACAGTTTTGAATGAAGCAATTGTATTAACTTGTCAATCTATTCATTCTTTATCATCTTTTGACATATTCCTACAAGTTGTCTTCTTTTCTAGAGCCTAATAAACAAACAAAATTGAGAATATATATTACGAAAGAAATATTGATAGTTATATGTTACAATCAATCATTTGGCTTGGAATACTTCATCACAATCAGGTATTTTAGCATACACTAGATATTGGCTCTTTGAGGTGGAAATTGTACTATCGGAATTTATAATATTAGAAAATAATGTAATGATTAAATCAAAGGTACAATTTACAAATGAAGCTGTACCAGATCATTGGGTTCGACAAGTAAAATTTTGACAAAAAATACTTTTATACAAATAGTGGCTCAATAATTACAAAATAAAGCTGTCCAAAACAAGAAAATTAATGGAAATAAATGTTCTATATACTCTTGTGATGATTTCTAATTGATGTCAAACTGGTAAATATACATTTTTATGTTTATTGACATGTTTTAGAATACAAAATTTTATCAGTTATTCTTGTATTAAAAATGCATCAGATATTTCGCAATTCATGAAATAAATAAAATTTTACTTATATTGATATATCAATAAAAAATATAAAATATATGAAAGTGGAAAGAGAATAATGACAAACACAACTTGGAATAATAGGGATAAAAAGTTTAGTAATTCTGATAGCTCCATTGCCTGTATTTCCATAACCATATGTTCCATCGGGAAGTGGCATATATTAAGATCCATCAAGCATTTCTGTGTCGTAGAATGAAAGGCCACTGAAATGGATTGATGATTCTAGGAATTTAGGATTTTCTTCTGTAAAATCTTTCGCAATTGCAACACAACCGTTATGACCGCTGATGAATGAAGAACCTCCAGCACCGCCTCCATATGTCACGTATTGAGAAGCACTGCCACCAAAGTAACATCCACCACCAGATCCATTTCCGTCTTGTTAAATTCCATCGTTGTTGCCATTCCCTCCACCAAACCCAAAACGTCCTTTGTAAACACCTTCTCCAGAACCGCCAGATGTTTGGTTTCCTCCGACACTTGATGAATATTGACTTGAAAAACCAGTCAAGCCGCCACCACTTCCGCCAAAATCAGCTTCTGTTGGTTTATTAAATATTCCATCTGCTGATCCTGAACCAGCAGAAACGATTATTCGGGATTTCAAACCGTCAGGGTATTCAAAATTGCATGAGACTAATCTGATATCTGAAGATCCACCACCGGAGCATTGGCCTGGACCACCACCTCCATATGATGGTTTGGCAGCATTAACATAACCTTTAGATCCTACATGCAAATAGAATTTAGTTGTTCGCTGAAGACCAATCTCACCTTTAACATATGCACCTTTAGAATAATTTGTATCAATATCAAATGTATATCCGGATCCACCCCATAATTCAAAACGATATACACCTTGTTTTAATTCAACTTCATAAGGTTGAAATGTGTAACTGTTCGATCCTGAATAATTATATAATTGACTATTTGCTTGTATATCTCAGATAAGATGATCAGATATTATTATTTTATGTCACTTTTTATTAATTGTTTATTATTATGAACAATTAAACATGATTTTAATCAAAAATAATCGTATAATAAAGGATTTACTTAAGCATGTCGTTTTGCCCCCATTGGGGACAATTGCGTCCCCCACTTGGGGGACGCTGGGGGACTGAAAAGTGACAAGATAAGTTCGAGATGTCAGAGATTTTTAGTAAACTGTCAAAAAATAATCAAGGAATAAAGTTTTAGTATTATCATTTATTTAACATATGCATAATATTATAATATGATTTTCATGCGATTTTCGACCTTTTTCTTTAGTTTTGAGCAAATTTAATTTTCATTTTCCTCAAAATCCAGTTTTTTGCTCTACTTTATATGCAGAAAATGACTTATTTATATCATATTATCACAAAACCAAATCAAATATAGACTATAAAATATTCCCCCAATGTCACGTTTTTCCCCATCCCCCATGGGGGAGACAAAAAATCAATTCAATTTTGAATGCGTCCCCCATCCCCATCCCCCATGACTTCGATTTTTTTAGTGTCTTGCTTTTACTACTTTTGGTTATTGTGAACAATATGAATCTAAAGTTATTCATTTCTTACACTCTATTGCATTAAATAAAAATTAAATTATTTATCCTTTGTCAAAACATCTTTAAACATATAGATTTTAGTATTGATTAGACATACAAAACTAGTTTCTATACTCATTTCAGTAAATATGATTGTGTTTATGACATCGATCTGTAGTATTGTTTATAGTTTATCAATACAGACATAATATGTTGTAGTTGAAAAGATATTACATAGATAAGTGATATGGGATACTAAATCTTGAGAAACTCAATTCAGAATTTAAAGATTAATAATGATTAACCATACACAACAATTACAAATAGAGGAAAGCCATTAACATTCATAAAAATTATGAAATACAAGAATAATATCCTGATATATTGACTGGAAATATTTATTTAAGAGATCATCAAATTATTAAATATTCTTTTTCAAGAAAAGCATATAAGAAGCATAAACATAAATCATATAGTACTATAATCACAATGTTAAAGATAGGATCTTCAAGGATACTGATTTGACACTTTACAAATATTTTTTGACACTTTACGTGTTCCCCAGACTTTCAAAATTATTTGGTCGGATCCCCAATTGTCCCCAAAACGACATCCTTAATTTACTATAGAATTAGAAATATATAGTTTGTTAAATTAAAATAATTAAAGAAATATGGACAGTGATAAATTGTAATAATTCTGTGAGTTTGAAATACTTCTTCACAAAGTAAAATTTTAGAATATATTGTGTAACGACTGTCTGTATTAGAATATTTACAGTTTTGAGTTGAAACACCAGAAAATAATGAACTTGATAAATCAAATGTACAATTAACAACAGAGACAGTACTTGATGATTGGTATCGAAAATATAATCTTTTGATATTTGAATTTCCGAAAACAAAGAAATATTTGCATATATTGCTATTTGGAGTAGAACGGTAATGCATTCCAAATACATTTTTTGTAGTTTTATCATACAGCAAATTAACATATTCAACAGTTGCTGCAGATTCAGATTCAAAAGAAAAAATTGCATTATTTCCTGAAGAATTAGAATTTTGTAGATATCTTACAGAATTATTTGATGGAACTCGGATTGTCATGAAGCTACCATATGCATAGTTATCATTATTATTAACAGATAATGATGAATTATATAAATTTAAAATCATAGATATGGAAGCTCCATTCCAAAAAGAATGTGTTGTTGTTTTTGCATTAAATGATGAAATATATTCATATTCCATGTTTTTTACGAGATGACATTGAGAGTCTCCATTTAAGCCAGCAAAATTCTTCAAAAAGCAGGTGTTTTTAAGAGAAACGTCGTTATCCTCAAAAAATGCACAACCTCCTCTATCGGATGCATAACAGGCTGAAAATATGCAATGATTTATTCCTATGAAAAAATTTGTTACTCAATAGATAGCTGATCCTCGATATGAGCCGGTTAGTCCAAGGAAAATTGAATCATCCACAGATAAGTTTTGAGACGGTTGATATCTTTCTTTGAAATTATGTAGCGAAAATATTACTATGTCTGTTTATGATATTTAATTGGTTTTATTTATTGCATTCCAACACATAATAACAAATTCTGATATGTATGTAAGTTGATTATAGTTTTTATAAAAAAAAAGATAAAAAGTGACGAATTTGCTTATAACTTTTTTTTATCAATTTTAAAATCATTTATACTTCAAAGTTTTAAATAATATTCAATATTTAATCATTAGAACCCTTAGGGGATCACCGCGCTTCGTCTTCTTCTAGAGATCTTTTTTAGATTTTGAAACGGTAAAAAGATAGAGTATAATCGATGTATTGTATATCTTCTTTAATTTATAAAATATCAATTCTATCATAGTAAATTAAAATTTTATAAATTGAAAATTATCATAGGGAAAAAGTAACCTTAAGTGTTAAAAATTGAATAGTTGTAAACTAAGATAGTGCGCCTTTAAGGGTGGCGGAAAGTGAAGTGAATGAACAAAAATAAAATGCTATTATCTCGTCATATGTTTAATATCTTTCGGTAAAAATTATATAGCTACAAATCCCATTTGTAGTAGTATATGTATGCGATAATTTCATTATCATATATGCAAGCTTTTGGTTTTCCATCCTATGATAAATATTTGAATTTCGCGTTTGATAGGGGAACAAATTTAAATATCTCATGATTGGAGCTTTAAGCACAAAATATGCTCAATAGAAAACATAGAAAACAACATCTTATATATATTTATATATGAAGAAAGACTCCTTATCTCACATTGAAAGACTAGATACAAATCTAATTAAACTCTGAATAGGTGCAAACTGGAAAGAAAGGTATCGGACGTAATTGGCACTTATATGTTGTTTATTCTCATACATTGATTTTGTGCAAATTTTATAAGTAGTTCCAGATCTCATCACTTATTGCATCTTAGGGGAATTTAATAGATACGTGTTTTGTTCAATAGAAAAGATAAATCTATGTACCTATATTGCATACCTTAAGTATTTTTGATATTAATTCAAAAACCAGAGACTAGATACAGTTGAAAATTCATTTTTTTCTTTTATTATTTCTCTACCAGATAGAGATCTCAGACTACGCAAACTTCGTAGTAAATACTTATTTATATACAAAATTTAGTTATGCTACAATAACAAAATAATTTCAAATATTTATTTAGTTATTTTTACTTTTTGTTATTCGGTCACATCACTTTCCGCCACCCTTAAAGAGACATTTAATCTTGTCTGATTTTAATTTAAAATTTTGATAACAAATGTAAAACATATTTTCCTGTTGTTACATTGAATTAAAAATATCACAGGGAATTATTTGTTTATTCATATCTAAACATAACCCTCAAAAATAGAAAAAAAAGTCGCAATTATTGATTACCTAATTAATTTTTCATTCAAAACTTTTATGATAATATAAATTCCAAAAATAATAAATTCATTCTATTCTTATAAATACGATATTTACATGAATAAGTATGAAATTGAGGAATTTTAAGAAGTAATTTAACGACAGGCATCAGAAAATAAACTTCTTTTTCTTGAGCAGCAGGCAAAGTATTTTGCTTCTTATAGCAATTTTTGGCACCCACTGGATACCACCAATCTGTCGTTTGAGTAGAACAATCATAAAAGGAATTCTCAGTTAATGATTTAGTAATTCCTCCTTGGAAATACGTTGTCCATGTTAAATGAACTTTTTTGTAGCCATTACTCTCAGCAGTACTTGCACTTGTTGTATCAAATGGATGAACTTTTTGGTACCAAGTGTTATTGCCTTCAAGTCCTGGAACGACCCATGTGAATAAATATCCGTTGTGATCATACCAATAACGTTTGTCAATAACCTCAAGAATGGAGAATAAATGACTATGATTTGTTATGTATCTGACTTGTTCAGCTGTTTGAAAGTAATCTCCATTTGATGCATTATGTTCAAATATTTTGAGATACAGCTCATTATTGATGAAATAAACATAATTTGATAAGTTTTTATCAATTAAATTCAATTAAGGAGAACTTCATACTTGATAAAAATATACAGTTCGACCAAACAAAGGCTATCGTTAAAGTCAAACTAAATCGAGTATGAGAAAAGTCAAACTTCTATTATGTTAACTATTTATCTATCATAAAAATCTTAATTTAACTAACATCCAAGCTTTAAATACGTCATTATTTTAAAAACACATTATATCCTTAGTTTGAACTAATCCCAGTATTAAGTATACTATATATTATACAAAACAAGTGTTATCATGTTTATACATGTATTTTCAATTAATGTATTATATCCAATATACTATAACATATGTATGATATAAGTGTAACAAATATAAATTCTCTGCATTTTGTTAGAACTAAAAGATTCGTGGATATTTGATATCTAATTAACTCAATAATTAAATTCTGGTTAGAAAAACAATTACATAAACAGTGCTTTTAATCATCTAACATTATTTTCCAAAAAAACTTTATTTTTTAAGGTTATAAGTGCAACTTAAATGAAATTTCAATTCAAAATAATCGTTTCTTTCATGTAAATTGCACCTGTGAAATAACTCAAAAAATCTTTGAACCTGATGGATCAATCAAAATTGGTCATTCGGGAGATGGTTTTATTTCAATCAAATCAATTTTATATTGTTCTATATGTAATATTTGTTTTAAAATTAATATTTTCAGTATTTTTATTTTAATTTTGAACGAAAAATAATATTATAAAGGAGTTTACAAATTTATAATTTCTGGCAAAAAATTCTCAAAAAGCAGTCTCTTTTCTATTGATCTTATGTTATCTAAAAATGAACAGTAAAAATATAATAAAATCTATTATAACTTTATTCTATATTAAAACAAATGATCAAGAACGTAGACATGTTTCTCTGTTAAGATTAAAACAACGTTGTCGTCTTTCATGTAATGTAAAGAAATAAACTTTCCTTCAATAGTAAGAAGGTTGCGAGGTTCAGCTAAATAAAATGTTTCAACAACATAAACTTTGTTTTCGCAATCAATGTATAGTAAATAATCAAGATTATGCTTGTCTTTGATAGACAAAATACCCTTGATTTCGTTTGGAATCTCTTTAGAAATAATACTTCGACCATTGATGTTGAAAACATTTAGGAAATGTTTTGTTTGTCCGCGTGAAACAGATTCGGAATAAACAACAATAAAACCAAGATTTTCTGTAATCAAAACTGATTTTGGCAATGAATCAAGTTGCACAGAATGGATGTATTCACCATCTAATTCGTGAATAACTAAAGAACAGCTCGATGTGCAGCTTGCAACAACAAAATACTTAGAAGAAACAAAACTACAAACAACTTCTCCTAAAAATGTTTCACAATCACATAAATCAAAGAAATCATGGCCTAAATAAACATGTGATGTTGCAGCAAATGTTCCAACACATAACAAATAATCACTGGATGACAAAGAACTGACACCACCACGTATTGGTAATGATTTGTTTGAAGAAACATATTCAATACTTTGATTAATTTCATTGGAAACAACGAAATCATCAATGAAATAACAAATTTGACAATCTTCAATTTGTTTCTTATGGTTCTTAGTTTTGAAAGAAATGTTGTTTTTGTTGATATCATGAGGATTCTTCAGTTTGATTGTAATAATATCTTCTGTTGTCAAAATAAGAAGTTCATTATTATGGAAACTACTTGAAACAATTTTATCAATTCCATGTTGGAATCTTTTAGTTTTGAATTGATTTGATTCAATGATGTTTCTTTCCAAATGGTTTGTTGTAAAAACTTGTTTAGGCATTTGACCTAAATTCAAACAACAAATGTCAACAAAGTCTTCATTAGGATTGGAATCAAATATATCATCATACAACTCTTTCCTGTATTCACATGATTTTAGTTTTCTTTGTAAAACACCAAAAGTGAAGTCAATCCATTGATGAATTTTTTGAGAAACAAAATTACTCTCAAGAGCTTTTCTGTTCAAATAAACGAATTCATCGGGAGAATGACAATATCCAGGTAATTGAACATCCTCTGACATGTGGTTCAAATACAAATGATTGATGTTCAAAAACATCTCTGGGAATGAAAAGAACTCCGGAATTAATTCTCTAGTATCATTTGGATCAACAAAGAAATTGTTCCATTCTTCTTCAAGACTTGAAAAGATTTTTCTATCAAAGAAACCACCATTCAAATTTATTTTAATTGTTGTGAATGGTTCTGTTCTTATCATAAAGGCAGAAATTTCTCCTGGAGTTGAAATTCCTTGAGAAAATTCAAAATCTTTGAAAATTTTCACAGATTTTTCTGGAGAAATTGAACTTGGCGGTTTTGACAAATCTCGATAATTTTTATCTGAAGAAAGATCTAATTCTTTCGTTTCAGATGAGTAATTCGATAATATCCATGGGAATATCGGATACTGTGTGATATCAGCAAATGTTCTACTGGCGAAATGATTGATTTCAAGCAAATAATCAAATGTAGAAATTTGATATTTTTGCCATTTTTCTGTGAATTCTTTAATGAATCTGAATTCATCGTAAACTTCAATACTTCCATGATTCAATGTCATGTACTTGAAACTACTCAAAATCTGAGAATTATTTTCTTCAGGAAAAACGAAAAACAAAAGTTTTCCATTCCATGTCAAAATTTCAATTGAATTCTCTTTATGATTGTACTTCATTGGACTTATTCTTTTGATAAGATCACTTGAAATCATAGTGATTACATCATTCACAATATATTTGATACCATTCTTGTAGATGCAAAAACTACAATTAACTTTTTTCTTCAAATAAACTTTTTGACAATTTTTTGTCTTATAAATTAATTTTGATTCATCGAAATCATAATTAAATGAATTGTCATAATCTGTATCAAATATCAATGATTTTGATGAAATTTGCTTGATAAGTTTATTTCGAAGATTTTCGATAACTTCAGATGATGAATTCGAGTAAATTTCTCTTTTGATTATTGCATCCAAATGATCATTGTAATTCCAATGATAACTTAATCTTCCAGGAATTGGAGATTTCTTGTAATGTGGTGTCTGTCCTTCGATATTCCACGGACCATTGTTGCTCTTCATTCGATGCCACAATGATGACCATGATTTCTGGCAGAAAATGGAATGACTTTGGAATCTGTTTTTCGTTTGCATAATTGAAGAATTTGCAATAACAGGATACTTTTGTTCTGTTGTATCAATGAGTTTCAATGTAATATCAAATGAATTCTTGTACCAATTCGATAGTTCTAAAATGAACTTTTCATAAAGTTCTGAAATTTGTTTTGTCAAATTTACAACTCTTTCGATGATTTCTGATTGTTTGATGTTAATTTCTTGTAAATTCAACAATGATAATTTGGAGTTGTAAAAGTTTTCAATGATTTCTGATTTGATCATTGATTTACAACAAGAATAGAAATACAAGTAAGTAGAAATCAATTTGTTTTCATTGCTTTCTGCTAAGAATTGCAAAAATGATTGAACTAAGTTTAAATCTAACCATGTTCCATTTTTGACAACTCTTAATCCAAAAATTTCAAATTTGACACCATCAAAATTATTATTACAGAAATAAAAGTCTAAAGGAGATGAAATTTCTAAATTAAAAATCTCTTCCATAGAAATAGATTTTGGAATCAACTTCGAATTTTTGTCATTTCTATTTTCATGATCTAAGTCAAACTTTTCTTTGACATCATGATTATCAATTTTGAAATTTTCATGAGAAATTTCTTCAACTTTGTCAGATTTTTCTGAAATTTCATTATTTTTATCAATATTTTCATTAGAACTTTCATTTACTTTGTTGATAGTTTCATTTGATGTTTCGTCATTTTTGACATTTTTGTCAGATTTTTCATTATTTTTGTCAAAATTTTCATTAGAATTTTTGACATTTTGAGGTTGTGAAATTTCATTTTCTTTTTGGTTTTTGATGGTTAATGTATTTTTATCTTGATAATTAAGATGTTCTCTGAGTAAATCATGCAAAGCTTTGTTAGGAGACCTTCTGTGACGAGTCAAATACATCAACAAAATATGATAATAATTGTTCATTTCTTCTTCACTTCCATAATTCATTACTAATCTATTTGACAATATCGAAATGAAAGATCTTCTAAATTCTTCGCAATTATACTTAAAAACTGATTCCAAAAAGCACAAATTTGCATCAACTGCTAACCAACATTTCGGAGAAACTTCAATGAGGAAATTAAACACATAAACAGAAGTATTTGGATAAACAATTGCTGAGATCAATGACCATGTCATCCAAGAGAAATTGCAAATGAATTTTTCATCTGGTTTCAAATTATTGAAAGTGTTTTTGACTTTTTCTTCTCCTAAAGTCAAAGAACACCATGATAAAAGACTTAACAAGCCATGAACAGAACAATTACTAACTAAATCAAATAAGAAATCATATAATTCATTATTTGCATCATCATTTCTTAGTAACTGTATAATAGAATCACAAATTTCATAAAGAGAAATGTTTTTGAGAATTCTTGAAGCAATAACTATAATAGAAAGCATTTTCATTGTTATCTGTTTGTCTCTTAAACCAATAACAAATATAATATGATGTAAATCACTGCAATCAAGATTAGCTAATGGGTTGTTTTGTAACATCAAAATCTTTTCCATCAAATTAAGTAAAAATAAACAATTTTCTTTTGCTGAAACTTTTGCAATGTGAGCAATTAAAACTGTCAAGTCATTCTGCTTAAATTCGATACTTGCAATATCAAGCAATACATCTGTTAAGTGTTTCTTGATTTCATTGTCACATTTGTTCATAACCAAAAGTGACGAAATTTCAATGAAATCGAAAACTTTGATTTTGAGATTTGCAATGAAAGGAATTAATTTTCGATGCCATGATTTAATTATTTGGTTGAATTCACTTGATGATGCCCATAAATTATAATTCAACAATATGTACTTTGCAAGTTTAAACTGCAATCCAGTATCATTAATTTTTTGTAACAACAAATAAAACTTGTTAAATGTTACATAATTCAATAATTTTTTGTCATTGTTTTGTAACAAATATTCCAAGATTTCTACACAGTTTGTTTCACTCATATTTTTCTGTGCGATCTCTGAATTAACAATAACAATAAACAACAACTCATAAATTAATTGAAAACTGTCAGAAAACGGTTGGCCATTTGGAAAAGTGAAGTCAATTAAACTAAACAAAGGCAACAACAAATCAACACCTGACATATTAACCAAACAATCATAGATCATAGAGATCTGATGTGAAGGAGTTCCTGTAGTTGATAAACTAATATTTTCTTGTTTTGTTATTAAACTCAAATTCAAAACTTTGTTTGCTGAAGTAACTCTTACTAAAAATGTATAATTTGTTTGCGGCATTTTATCAAGTTGAGGACCAATTGATTCTATTTCAGAACTTTGATCATTAGAATTGATATTTAATATACCAAAACTAGACAATGAAACAAATTTCTTAACTTCAAAACCTGAAGGAATATCAGCACCGCCAACAACAATTTTTGCATCTCCAGCAAATTTAACTAAAGGAAATGGTAAACAAAATGATCTACTTCTATTGTTAAAATTAACAAAAGCTTCAAATCTTTCATTAACAGTAATAAACAAAATAGAAAGAAACGTCCATGTATTCAATGGCATCTGTTCTTCAACTTTTCCAATTGATCGAGTAATTCCATTTCTCACAGTAATAGTTATTTCATCACATGAAATTGTTCCTTGTATAATGTTATGATTTGAATCATAAATTGTAAAAATGTTTGGTGAATATTTCGGAACACTATAATTAATTCTAAACCATGTAACAAAACAGAAAGGATTATTTAGATCATATCGATTTAATCCATTGATTGTAACTTTTTGTCCTTTTGGTTTTAATTCTATAAAACCACTTGGAATTCTATAAGTTTGCTGCAAAATATCTGTCAATCCTTTGATAAAAACTGGTTCTAAATATGAAATATTGTTGTTATTCAATGGAGCAAACAATGAAACATATCTTTGTGAAACAGTTACAGAAGACATAAAAGAACAAATTGTCTTAAACAAATCTAAACAACTATGAACATATTCTAAATTAGGATGCTCTAATAATCTTTGTTTGCTTAATAATTCTATCAATAAAATATCAATTCGATATTGATGACAAATAATAATATTAACACTTGCATGACTACATAAATCTTGAATGAATTTAATGGCAATTTTGAAGTCTTTGTCTTTATAAATTTGAAGCATAAATCTCAAGAAATTTGGCTCAGTAATTATATATTTTGGAGCATAAGAAGATAAAAATTGTCCTGCAATAACTTGAATAGTTTCATTAAATAATCGTTTTGGAATTTTTCTATTTTTGAAAATTTCCAACATTGTTTCAAATGAACTAACTTCTTCTTGTGTTGCTTTAACAATTTGTGATGAAGAAGTAAAGAAATTTAAACATTGATATAAAATTTCTTCTAAATGTTCATAATCAGTTCTATGACAAATTTCACATAAATTTGAACATAAAATTGATCTCAAACTAATTAAATATTCACAAACTTGTTTTCTAATTTTTTGTACATCATTTAATGCAGACAAAATATTGATATAAACAGGTAATCCTGATTCAGAAGGTGATAAACAACAAATTCTTAAACAATTTCCTAACAAGCTGCAAAGATTTGATGAAAAAACTTCTGTGTTTGTTAAATAAGATCTTATTACATGAATTGTGAAATTTTCTAATGAATGTTCAAACAAACAACTCAAAAAAATTGTTGTTTGATGTTCACTTGAAAAGAAATTATTCAAATAATGAATATCAGTCAATAATCTTGAAACAAACAAAATAATGTTTCCGCATGCGAGAATAGTTCTTTCATTAGAGATTTCTTTGTATTCATGGAAGTGGTCAATCAACAATTCAATGATTTCTTTCTTAAATTCAACTTGAAGATAAGTATGACCAATAGAAAGTCTTAATAATAATTCACAATACATATAAGGATGACAAAACAAAATTTCTAATGCATTAAAAACAAAAGCTGTTGATTCAATGTTCAAAACATCAAATGCCGACCATCTTATTGTAGAAAGAAATGAATCTTCTGTATCATGATAAATAGAAATCCTTGAATCAAAAACTAAACTTGTATATAATTTATGAATGAAAACTAAAAAGTATTGATTAGGTTTGATATCATTCATAATAATACAAATACATAAAACAAAATGCATGTAATGTTTCTTGTCGATTGTTGACAAAAAATCAAATGAATTGTTGATAAATGATTCAATCAAATTTAAATTTGTCTTAAAAAATAATGAAATAAGAGACAACTTACAAATAAAATTAATATCAAATATATCTTGATAACTCATCCTGTCAGGAAGAATTTGTTTTGTGTTGAATTCGAAATTAATGTTTTTTTGTGTTGAAAATTGCATTATTACTTCTTCATGGTTGTTTCTTTTGATTGTCTCAAAAATTGGAATGTTTTCAATGTTGATTTCATAAGACAAATTCGATCTTTGTATTTCTTGAAGGATTGCTGATGGAAAAAGATTAACTGCAAGGATAGAAATCGTTTCTGGTACTTCTTTCGAAATTTCTGTGATGAATTTAAGAACAAAGTTGTCTAAATTGTAAATTAATGGTGTTAAAGAACAGTAAATAAGCTGTGTTGTCTTGATAGGAACATTTCGACCATTAGAAATGTAGTAAATATGGAGAATTGTTAAAAATTTAACGTCATCAACTGAAATTGAGTCTGGATTTGTAGATGTAATAGTTTTAATTGCAAGACCAAGTAGAAATGTGTATTCTTCTGATAGTTTGTGCTTGTTAAATAGCATAAAAATGATGAGCTTCACTTGATCAAAGTAAATAATGTCGTTGTTCGTCAAAATAGACTGAATAATGTAGAATTCAACTGATAAATATAATGATTTGTAATTAATTTCGTGATCTATTTCGTCAATTTTTACGATTAAATTTAATAATTCAATTCCAAAGTTGTTTTGATATGTAACATTAGTGTTATTATTAGGTATAATGAGCCAGGCAATGTAAAAATATACGACGTAAAGCATCATATCAACTTTGTTGAAGTTTTCGATTTGATCGGAAAAACGTTGCAATTCATTTTGATCGATTTCGGGCGATATTTTGTATGTATTCATAATTTCTAGTATATTGTTCGTAGTTAATTCTGGATTTATTATTTTGTTGAAGAAGATCGAATCGAAATCTGGTGAATTTAAAGATTTTCGAATTGCGGAAAGCGTGGGAGTCATCCCCTCTGCACGGCCTTGTTGTTTCATATAGTCAAATAGAAAAACTAATATTTCGGACTGTGACAAGAGGGGAATCATATAAAAATCAAAAAATTTCTGATTCGGTATCGGAAAAATTTTGATCTCTAATTTCAGACATTACCCCTTTTGCGGACCAATCACCACAACTACATTACCTTAGTGCAATATTCTTCCGAAGTATCTCATTCGACTGAGAGTTATCTACACAAATGATTTCCTACAGAAAACCCCTACATTATTCGACTAGCCATAAAAATTATTATAAATGCATGATATAAGAATATTTTTATATTTCGATTAATCTGAACTTATTTTTAGGAAATGTGATTATCCAAAATATTATGTGATTATTTATATATGATAGTAGTATCATGGAGAAGTCCTCCAGTAATTAGAGTATGATATCAACTTGAACGAGAGAGTATCTCTGAAGAACTTTGCATTATTCGAATAATTAGAAAGGTGGAATATGAGTATAATAGTGTTTATTCAATGAAAATGAAGATGTTGATGTCAATATAAGCATCAATGATTTGTGTTTTAAATACCAAACGAAGTTTTAGTAGTTTTGTTCCAAGTTTTGTTAATGATATGACAATTTATTTGTTTACTTAGACAATTAATTATTTTACAGTTTTACATTAATCATATATAAGTGTATACTTACCACTTTCTTACATACTTACAAAATATTGATAACAGGATTGATGAGTCATAGATATATTTATCAATTGCTAAATTTGAATTTAAACAACAATACCTTTTGACTTTAACATGTTAAATAGGTCACATACTTTAAGAGTTTTTAAGTTGATGCCTTTGAATGGTTCTGGTAAAGATCTATTCATTGCTTCATTACGTACTTTGTCAAAATGCGCTTTTGAAGCAACAGATAAGTACAAACCAGTTTCTTTGTCATAATAGAGGTCGTTTGCATTTGATTTGAGAATTGCTTTAAGGGTGCACACGAGAGGATCATGTAAACTTCAGAATTTAGAACCTATTTAGGCTCGAAAAGCAAAAAATATCAAAAAATACAACTTGACTCCATTATGACCCTTTCATGGAGGTAGTTTTTATCCGCTAGTATTTTCCCTTTGAATCTCTTTACAATTCGAAATCAAATTCAAAACTCAGTAGAAGAAAGGAAGAATCGACTTACTACGGTTGTAATACGAATAAATACATATATTTAATTATTTTTATTTACATAATAATTGTTTGAAGCTCATATTCCATCAAATTTTTAAATAAAAACATTAAAATGTTGAAAATGTTCATATATTTTAATAGGGTTTTGGCACTTTATTGAGGAATTACTACATACATAGTCGAACTGAACTTGATATTTTGAAATTTAAATTATTTATCAAAATTAAAATTTAACTTGAAATTTATAATTATTTAGTCATATTTTGCATAATTCTAAGTAGATTTTGTAAAAAATCAAGAAAGAAAAATTTTAACGTGCTTTATTTTTTCTTTTTGAGTGTGGGACAAACTATCCAGTGTCACTTTTTTATTAACCTTATTTAAAAAATTAATAAAATAATAATAAAAAATTATTTGAATCTTTTACATTAATTGTTTCTTTTTTAAAAGTACCTTTAAAGTACAATAAACAAGATTTGAATCTATTGATCCTTGTTGCAAACTTGAATATATTGCTTCAAGCATTTTTGAGAGTAGCCCATGCTAGCTTTTATCTCTTCTTGGATACCAAACTGGAGGAGCTCCATAGTGTTGAATATCACGGGCTCCATACAACAAATTGAATAAGGTATTTCAAAATTTGAAGAAAATGGTCCATCATTGAATGTAGTGGCCGGGAATTGAATGACATACAGATAGTTTGAGGAAATTTGTTATAAATTATAATATAATTGAAGAATTAATTATCAAAACAAGTCTAAGAGCCATTTGTCAGATTTTCCCGAAATGCAAGGTTAAGATTTTAGCAGCGACTAACTTTGAGTGTACATATATAATTGTTATACTGAGTACTTTCTATCTGTGTTACTTATTTGAGTCTAAGAGCCATTTGTCAGATTTTCCCGAAATGCAAGGTTAAGATTTTAGCAGCGACTAACTTTGAGTGTACATATATAATTGTTATACTGAGTACTTTCTATCTGTGTTACTTATTTGAGTCTAAGAGCCATTTGTCAGATTTTCCCGAAATGCAAGGTTAAGATTTTAGCAGCGACTAACTTTGAGTGTACATATATAATTGTTATACTGAGTACTTTCTATCTGTGTTACTTATTTGAGTCTAAGAGTCATTTCTACCATAGAACTAGATATTGTCTCTCATTAAATATATATAACTGTAAACTGCTTAATTCATTTATCTATTTAGATAAAATTATATTTATATAAGATTTCATGTTATTATTTCATCTTTATTATTTTTTTATTCCTTTGAAAAGTGACACTGGATAGTTTGTCCCTTTCTCTTTCTTTTTTATAATAATACATATTATTATATAATTAACATATTCATAATGTTTCACCCTTTCAAAAATATAATCCTCCTCCTCTCAAATAAACGTACATACGGGTGGCCTCTTTTTTCAAAAAATTAAAATTTGAAATTTTGGGCTCAAATATTAGAGATTTTTTCAACCTTCAACGATATATGTTGTCTATATCAGACCTCCTTTCTTTTTGATACTTAACATTATAGATCCAAGGTGAAGTCATTTTCTATCCCTGGGATAGACGATACACCCAAAATGTCACCTTTTTGGGATTCTGTTTTTTTAAGGTTCTCGCTGGCGACCCCCCACCCCACGTTCGTCGAAAAAAAATTGGTGATTGGGGGGTCGCCAGCAAAAATCAAATTTTTTTCGACGAACGGGGGGTCGCCAGCGAGAACCTTAAAAATAAACCTCTGAAATTTTAAAAAAGAAAAAAGTGTGAAAATCCCCTTGATTCGAACCAATGGACTTTACGATTATACTATGACTCTTACCATTGAACTATGACTCTAAGGGTTCGAAAATTTATTTGGTGATAATATAAACTTTAATGAAAAATTAATCAGATCAATTTAGAAATATTTATTTCATAATATTGAATGAATGTATAAATCTAAATAGTATATTATCAAAAAAAATAAAAAAATAAAAAAATAAAAAATAAAAAAAATAAAAATAAAAATAAAAAATTAATAATAATAGTACCATCACCACAATTAGCAAATTCAAAAGATATATGAATTGCTATCGATCTCTTTCAAACAAACACATAGAAATTTTGATTAAGTATTTCAAATTTTTATATGAGATAAATATTGAACAGATAAAATATAAAACAATTTTTAATAATAAATATAGATATTTATTTTGTAGCCATTAAAATTTCTCGGCTATCTAATAAAATTTTGTGAGAACGTAATCTTTTCAAATTTAGTATCAATCTTTGGTCTTTTATTGTTCTCTCACATGTTGCTTCTGAAGGTGAAGCGGAGATAACACGAAGGGCGATATCTGCAAAGATTGATACATTGCCATCTCTATGAGAGATTTCTTCCCAACCGTATTCTTGACGTTCTTGAATCATATCATCAGAGAAGATATCATTATCACTATTAATATACGTGTTAAATAGTGTAATAATATCTGTTATTGTTTGACCCGGAATACGAAATTGTTCCAAAATACTTTTGAGATACTGCCTAGCTGCAACAAAATGGTTAACCGGCTGATTTGAACTAGATGTTACATCTGCGAGATCAAGCATAGGAGGGTCAATTGTAGCAGTTACCTGACGAATTGATCCCTCCTCAACCATATCAAGAGAAACTTCAGTCGAACCTTCTTCAAAGATAGAGTCCATATAGATAGATTGAATGTCTTCTACTGGATTAACGAAAGTTACGTTTGTAATATCAAATGAATTAATTGCCGGAGATTCGTTGATCTGCGCTCCGTGGACGAATTTTTGGTTGAAATAATACCTACCTTTCGGTGTAAAAGCGAAGGCTAAGCACCAAAGACCTCCAAAGTCCGATCCAAGGGTATAGTTCAACAACGATCTTGAAAGGATTCCAGCAAAAGGATTGTTGTTGCTGCTGGAAAGGTATTGGAGTGCTTCAATACCCTTGCAAAGCCATACGTAGCAATCAGATATCTTGGTTTTATCTGATTCGAACGTGGAAATAAGCTTCTTGAGAATTGCCAAGCAGTCTCTTAAGAACTTGATGTTTTCAATATCAATACGCGTATATCTTGAAATTTTGTCTTGATACTTGATAATAAACATACAAATATTATAATCATAGATCCACCTGGTGGATACATGCTTTGGACAGAGAGCTCCGATGTCTTCAACATGGATTCTACAAAGAGCTGATATTTCGTGGATATGTTTCACAATTGCTCCTAATGCTACGTCTTTTGTTGTCATATATTGATAACAATTATGAATCCTGTGGCATAAACACGGGATAAACAAGATTTTGAATAACCTTGGGTCATTTGAGTTGTAGAACGATTGATTCCATCCTTTCTGAAAACATTTCAATTGCGCTTTAT